TGCCATGCAGTGAGTTCCAGTTCATAAGGACACTATGTCCAACAGAGAGCAACATTGCCCGGTCCTGAGACAGCCTCACAGCCGTGACATTTGGACTCATTGTTGCAGCCACGGTGCCAATTCCTCTTGTCAAAGGTTTCCTTCTTTTCACTGTCCTCTGCCTTACCAAACATGATGCCCTTTCCAGCGACGTGTCTCCCCAAATACATGAGACAAAGTCTTGCCATCTCACTTGTTAGGAGCATTCTGCCTCTACATCTCGGAGGCGAATTGTTTTGGCAGTCCCTGGGGCTTTCGGTATTCTTCAACAGCGCGATGATTCAAATGCACCGACTTGGTCTTGGTCTGCCTTGGTCTTCGGTATTCAGTGTCCACCGTCCACATCGTATGAGGTGATGGAAACGCCATGGCTTGGGTCGGGCTCCTCCTTGCTCGTCAGCACTTTAAGGAGATCTTGTGCAGCAGGTTTACTTAATGCAGTACTTTATTTGAGTTCTTGACTGTTGCTTCCATCTATGTTGCTTATGAATCCAAGCAAGATGAAATCCTCGACAATTTCAATCTTTTCTCCATTTATCATGATGTTACCCTATCGGTCCAATTGTGAAAATTTTTGTTTTCTTTACATTGAATTATAAGGTCTAGTGAAGGCTGAAATCCTTGATCTCTATCAGCACATGCTTCAAGTCCTCCTGACTTTCAGCCAGCAAGGTTGTATCATCTGCATATTGTAGGTTGTTAATAAGTCTTCCTTTAATCCTGATGGTGTGTTCTTCTTCATGTGGTCCAGTTTCTCTGCTTATTTGCTCAGCATGAAGTTTGACTATGTATGGTGAAAGGATGCAATGCTGATGCACACCTTTCCTGACTTTAAACCACACAGTATTCCCTTGCTCTGTTTGAATGAATATCCCTTGGTCCATGTTCTGCATGAGCACAATAAAGTGTTCTGGAATTGCCATTCCTCTCAATCCTGTCCACAGTTTGCTATGATCCACAATAGAAACCTCTATCCGATCATTTTCTGTATTTTTACTGAGGTCCTAAGATTAGATGATTTGAAATTAGACTGTACACAGAGGCTATCTCGTCACCTTGGATGTGTGGTTTTGACTCCTCATAGGCTTCTATCACTTACCTCTGTAATTAACCACTTTGGAAAACAGAGGAACCATCAGTCCATTCAACATGGTGTATTGAACACCTCTCATATGTTCTGGACCATTCCAGTTTCCAAACCAAGCATGACAGGACACTGGAGGGTTGATTACAGTGTAATGAGTGTCATTTTTAGACCAAATTTGGTTGGACTGTCCTCAGATTGGAAAGAGTGGGATATGTAATTCTCCCGGTTTTCTGCCATATTTTAACATGCTTCATAACTAACTTTTTCTCAAATTATACCTGTTAATATGAATTTAACTTTAACATTCATTGAAGCAGGGTTTAATAAGAGCAAATTAAGCTCACCTTGGAATATGAGTATACATCCTGTTATATCTTCTAAGCAATGCTTGCAGAGGCAGGGAACAATATAATGCCATTAGCAGAATGTCATGTTTATTTTTCTCTTTCCTCTGAGACTTGATTATTTACAGAGGGAGCATTTTCCAAACAAGTGCCGATTCAAGCCCAGCCCAGTTTAATGTTATGTGTTGGTGTCTGTGTATGAGTGTATTCTGTGTTTCTGTGTCCATTAAGAATTTATATTTTCCATCACTAGATGGAGCTCTTTCACTTTAAAATGAAGTAAATTCAGTTGAGGGTTTTTGCTTTTTGTTTTGTGTTTATTGTTCCGTTGATGCAAAGAATGGTGAAAATCAGATTCTTTGTTAAATTGCCTCTGAGGTTCACAGTCCCTCTATGGATTCATAGGCATGGTGATGTGCTTACCCAGCCCATAAAGTAATAGCTTTTGAAATGATCATACCACTCAAAATACTTAGGCTCTTTAATGAGAAGTCTAATATTTTATTCTGTAGAAGCATTTTATGTCATATTTATTTGATTCACTTAAAGACTGGACAGAATTTGTAATGTGGCTTAATCTGTTGCCCTCTACACATACTTGATTTAAGAATCATTTGGAGAAACTTATAAAATGCCAATTTCCCCCAAACAAAAACAAACAAAGATAATAGTGCCATTGAGCCAACTCTGGCTCATGGTGATACTATAGAACAAAGTACACCTGCTCCCTGGGGTTTCTGAGACGGTAAATCTCTCTGAGAGCAGGCAGTTTCATTTTCTCCAGCACAGTGACTGGTGGGTTTGAACTATCAACCTTTTAGTTAGCAGTCGGATGCTTAAGTCATTACTCCATCAAGGCTCCTTCCTTGAGTCCCAGGAGCCTGTATTTTAGCATGTGTTACAAATGAGCTGTGTTCGCAGGCCATGTTTTGAGTAACACTGGCTTCTAACCACCCACTGCAGTGGCGATCGTTTTCTGTATAGATTAACATCAACGTCAAACCTACAAACCAGAGTTGAATATAGCTGGAACCGAAATGTTGAATGTAGACAGTTCTTTATGTAAATCTCGCCTTCGGGAGTTATGATGAACATGATACAGTTTATTGACGAAGCTTTTCGTTTACTTAATTGTGGCAGAAGTTGGCAAGAACATGACAGAGACAAGATGCTTCTTGTTAGGATGCAGTAGGGAAAAGCCATGATTAGGAGCGTGCCGTGCTTGTATGTGTGGAAATACCTTTCGCCTCCTTTGAGGTCCTTCACTGTATAATACCAGATTGTGAACGCTTCAGCCAATCTTAGAGCCTTTCAGCTTCCCAAGCCCCCACGAGCCAGGAAGTTTTCAGAGGTGAGAGAGGGAAAGTTAGATAACAATGTGCGGCAAAGGGCCAAAGGCCAAGAGCAAGCCCTGGGAGAGACAGCCTGAACTGAGGGTCAGGGCTGGAAAGATGGCATCCACTCAAATAAGCACAGTTGCTGTGAGGATGGCTCCCTTGAAGGTCAGAGAGCAGTGTTGCATTCTGGAACTGTTGTCAACCAGGGTTTTGCCATCTGCACTGGAGGAAAGCGTAGCTCTCAGAAAATAATTCCTTCTCGCTCTCTCCCGCCTCCTCTCGTCTCTCTCTTTTCCTTCCTTTCTCCACCTGTCTTTTCCTTTCTTCTTCCAGCCTCCTTCTTTTTCTCTTTATTTTTTTAATCACCCAGTTACACCTTGGGGGACATGATTTATAGCTGTTCATCTGGGACGGGACTTCAGGATGAAGGGACCGCTGTACTCCACAGTTGCGTCAGGTGGTTCCCAATCCTTGTCCTTGAAAATGGAAGATTTCGGAAAGTTACAGGACTGAAGCAGAACTACTTCTGAATTCTGAAAGGCACCCACTAAATATTGGCAAGCTCTGGGGAGCCCTGTTGGGCATAATAGGGTACATGGTGGGGTGCTATCTGCAAGATCAGCAGTTCAAAGTCACCCTCTGCTCTGTGGGAGGAAGATGAGGCTAGTTTCTAATCCCACAAAGGTTTCGGGTTTCAGACACCTTCAGGGGCTGCTGTCCTGCCCTGCGTGGCCACCATGAGGAATCAGCTGGATGGCAGGGGGTTTCTTGGTTCCTTTTTTATTTTTTTAAGTCATAGATCTGATTCTTACCACTTAGTACATTTTAAACATTCTATAAATGTGGAGATTAGCTATGTGAATACTGTTAATCTCTGTCTTTGTTTTGCTGCTTTGTTCCTAATGCCTATAGCTCATTCTAAAGCTCACTGGTGGCATGTGGGCTGGGCACTGTGCTGCTTACCACAGAGTTGGCAGCTTAAACCCGCCAGCAGCTCCTCAGGGGAAAGATGAGGTTGTCTGCTCCCAGGAAGATGGGCAGTCTTGGAAATCCCATGTAAAACCCTACTTAGGGTCACTGTGAGCTGGAACAGCCCATGGAAGTGCATTTGGTGGTTAATTTGTAGACCTTTGTGCCTCCCCAGAATGGTCATGCTCCGCGTCAGACGGGCACATGGATTCTTGGGGCGATCTGGAAACCCAATAAAGAGAGAATTGAAAAAGTGCCACCAGCATCTTGGGGCCTTAGCCCTGTCTGTCCCTCCCCCTGGAAGATTCAAGCTTAGCCAGCTGTCTCCCCCCTTGAAGCCTCTCCTCAGACCCCTCACTTTCTCACTTAGGCCTAACACCACCGAACCCAGGACTCCTCGTCTTTCTTCGTTTTAAAAATTGCATTTAAATTCTAATATACTGGGTTTTTTTTCATTTGATTCACATGCTCGCACATCTCATTTCTGTAAGCACACATGGGGCTTTTGTCTGGTCTCTTCCCTCCCCACTACCGGGAGCAGAACCTGGGTCCTAGAATAGGTACTCAGGAAGTAAGTATGGAATGAAGAGATGCTCTTCCTGGTAAAAGTTAACTGAAGTGATGAACAATGGCTATATCATATATTAATCACTCAATACAGATACTGAATAAATGCTAAATAAACACTCCTAAGAGTAAGCAACAACCCCCCCACACACACACCACCATATTAGCCTGTAATCTAAATTAACTTAAATCATCCTGTGATTTAAATATGGATCAAGAGTTGTAGGGCATTGAAGTATATTGGCCAAACCTGGGAGTGGCTTTTGGGGCAAGTTACTGAAAGTTCCTTTGCCTTAGTTTTTCCTAACTACTAAGACTACGGTGTGGATGCAAGGAGTGAGCCTTAGACACTGCCCCAAGCATTCATTTAGTAAGTGGAACTTATACATGCGTCACTTGTTTAAAAGTAATTACATGATATAATTATTTGAAAAGTAATCTAAGGTAAGCGGTTTTAGCCAGTTCTCAGAAGGAAAAAAAGCCACACATATGCACCATTTGGATATTTTGCCATCTTCTTGTTTGACTTCCACGATAATGTGCCTAGAATGAATCAGATCTTGGGTTGCCTAATCCGTTTTCTCATATCACGACATGTGTTTAATAGCAAAGAGTTTGGGAGCTTCATGTGACGGCTTTGCTTCTGGTTTCTTACAGATCCCCATATTAAGGTTTCTGGAAAGAAGGAAGATGTTAAAGAAGCCAAGGAAATGATCATGTCTGTCTTAGACACAAAAGTAAGTGCATGTTAAGGACTCGGAGCTATCAGAACCCTGTCTGTGCACGGGCTCCTTCATGCTGTTCCCAAAGAGCCACACTAGAAGAAGCAGGACTAAGCAGCGGCGGTTTGTGAAATAACACGTGTGTGATTCTGCAATGGATCTAAAGATCTGCTTAAAACTTGAATGGTCTCTCACCTTTGGGTAATTGATCAATATTATGGATGCATATAGGTGCACATGTGTATGTGTGTACATGGATGGATGTTTGTGTGTGTGTATGTGTGTGTGTGTATACACACACACATGCACACACAAACACACACTCTTCAGACAAAACTATTGGCACTTTTAACAATATTGAAAAAATAACAGAAGAAGCATGATGCCACACCCACTTTCCAGATTAGTTTGGGGTAACGATGAAGAGACTGCAAAGTGTAACATATTTTCCCTGATAAGGCCAATACAAAACAGGACTGATCTTCCCTACGGCTGTGTGGCCTGCGGTGTAGATGTGCATCTCTGTGGGTGACACAGCGTGGATATTACTGCTTGCATCCCTTCCCACATGCAAACCCACTTTTACAATCTATTCCGATTCATAGTGACCCAAGATAGGATTTCCAAGACTTAAAGGTGTCAAATTGCATGCTAATTTTATAGGACTTCTTTCATATACACGTCTAAAGCAGCAACGGGCTCAAACACAGTAGCGATTGCGAGGCCGGTATGGGCTCCAGGTGGGTTTGGGTGCATCGGCTGCAGGGTCGCTATGAGTTGGAATCAGCTGGATGGTACCTAACAACACAAAGCACTTGTTAGGTGCCAGACACTTTGCCAAGCACTTTATATTTTATAAGTATTGACTTGTTTACTCCTTATAGCCAACTCCACCCAGAGACATTAATTTGCCCAGAATCGAGAGCTGATAACAAACCTTGTGAAATGTAAAGCCAGGTTTCCTGATCTTTAACCTCCGTGTGATGCTGCCTGGTATTTCCTTGTTGTGAGGACTGATGCCTTCCTCTTTTGTGTTCACTTCTAACCTCTATTCACCTTCTAATTATTAAATATTTCTAAACCATCTTCTTTTCTTCCCCCCAAACAGAAAGGCTATATCTTGTCCAGTATTTCTAATGGTAAACTAAAAGAAGAATTAAGTTTGAACACCAAAACATTTAATGAGGAGATGTTTGAAAACCAAGAATTGAGAAGGGGAAAATTCTTGGTAGTTTGGACATCTTGCTGCATTTTCACTTTCTGAAGTTACCGTCTAAAGACTGGCCTTTTCCAGTACCATCCTTATCCACCAGGAGAGCTTTCATGTCGGTCTTAACATTTTTATAATGCAAAATTCCCAGAATGTAAGCACACGGATTCAGAGACGAACACCGTGTTTTCATTCCTCATGTCTTGGGATTTTATATCTTGGCTTATTATAACATCTTACATTTGTCTGAGTTACTACGTGAGGACCTTTCACTGCTAGACTGTTTGAGACCTCTTCCTCACTCTTGACAATCTGTGTTGTCAAGTTCAACACAAAACAACATAGACTGTGAGGAGGCAACACTTGTAAATTCTTCCCTATTCACAGTTTAGAGCTTGATTTACTTTTCTATTAATTTAATAGTATACACACATTTTCAGTCTTGCCATTTTAAGTTTTCATAGTTCAAGTATAATGTTTGTTAAAAAGAAAATGAGTGATTTATTTGTAATTGTACTAACTTTAAGACCTAACACCCCCCTCCCCCAAATTATCCTGGTAAACAGTGCATCTTTCTATTTCTTGTGACAAATTTATTTAAAGTGAGAATTCATTTTTTATAGTCAAAAAGAAATAGAAATTTTATCATACAGGAGGATTTTTATTAAGAAATCTCTGGTTTTCTAATAGGCCATTTTGTTAATGTTATTCCCCGAACAGAAAATATGTTGGGGTTTGTTCCTTCCTTTCTGACACATGAGAAATAATAACATTATTTCTGTGTAGAGCAACCGGGTCACACTGAAGATGGATGTTTCACATACAGAACACTCTCATGTAATCGGCAAGGGTGGCAACAATATTAAAAAAGTAATGGAAGAAACAGGATGCCACATCCACTTTCCAGATTCTAACAGGAATAACCAAGCGGAGAAAAGCAACCAGGTGACTTTTCTTTTCAAGCAAACTCTTATGGGATGGATCACAATCTTAATTTTCAGAAGGCATATTGCTTTTGAGAGATGAGAGCCAGTCCCCACCCACAGCATCAGTTAGATGACTTGTACAAGCCTACAAATTGAAGGTGCAGAGCTTTCTTGAGAAGATGAGCTGTAGGTGGAACCCAAAGTCTTTTATTTTTTAATTTATTTATTATTATTTTTAACCCAAAGTCTTAGTCTCTAAATGATTCGTAGAAGACCAGATAATAGCCATAAAAAACAAGAACCTTAAGAAAAGACTCAGCATGTCCCTTAGGAATGGCCCTGGACTCCTGCCTCGTTCCAGCGCCTGTCTGCTCTGTGGATCCTGGCTGCGCTGCCCCACCAGGCGGTGCCCTAGGTTCTATCGTCAGATCTCTTCTCAGCCATCACAGTACTAAGCATTGTGTTGAACAGAAAGGTGACTGGATGTGGTCTCTTCTCCTCCCTTGACAGTGGGCTGCTTTCATAGGGGACTAGTTAGGCAGACCGAGCGAGAAGCAGGGCAGTGTTCAGACTGTTTACAGACTAACTGGTGGGCATGGTCACCATCCCTCCGAGTGGTGTTTTGGAACACTCCTTCCTCCAGTACCAAGATTAACTCTGTAGTAGATGAGTCATGGGAAGATCCGTGGGCTTGGGGCAGTGATTACTTACCAGCTAGCAAGGGTCCCTGACAGCACAATAGTCAAGCATTTCACTGCTAGCCAGAAGGTTGGTGGTTCTAATCCACTCAGTGGTTGTATGGGAGAAAGATCTACAATTGATATGTTCCCATGAAAACTCAGAGCAGACGATGCTCCAAGGTTTTTACGTGGGGTCACTGTCAGTTGAAGTGGACTCAGCTGCCCCAAACAATCATAACAGAGTTAAAATATGTATATTTTGAGATATAGTACAGCCAGACCATTTTATAGTGGCATTGAGCTCATATTCAAAGAGTTAAAAGAAGAAAGAAAATGAAATGTTGAAGACTTATTTGAAGGGGAATGACCTTATGGGAGGTATGAGGTGTAGGTAAGTCCAGGAGGTGATGTAGATAAGTTGACGTAAATCCTCTGAATTTCTTGTTAAAAGGAAAATTCAAATCAAGACGTCTGTATTGAAATTTCAGATTCAACCTTTTTTTTTTTTAGCAAGTTCACATTAAGTACAGGATGCAGATAACTGAAAAATGCAAATATGGAATCAACTGAAATACACCGGACTTCTTATTTTCTTATTTCTACAGGTATCCATAGCAGGACAACCATCAGGAGTAGAATCTGCTCGAGTTAGAATTCGGGTAACTACTTATTACTTTAATATTGCAAACCAATGTCAGCAATATTTGCATTAGAAACAATTTAAAATATCATATTTTATTTTCTTTATAACCAATAATAAATCCAAGTAAGTATGAGATATCGACAAAGTTGTCTTTTGTCTACTTTGGCATTTGTTATCCCAACTTTTTGTAGACTTAAAACAGTTTTTTTCTATATTATTTATAAAGAGCCTTGGTGGCATAGTGGGCTGCACATTGAGCGGCTGACTTTAACGTCAACACTTTGAACCCACCAGCCCGTCCATGGAAGAGAGATGAGGCTGTCTGCTCCCATGAAAATGTGGCATCTCAGAAGCCCACAAGGGCAGTCCTGTGGAATCCTGGTTTAGATTGCTAAGGTGGCTAGGGGCACTGTATTGGTCATTGCCTCTGCAGCTCTTGCGTAGAACAGGTAACAGGACGTGTACTCTTATACCAATGTCACTGTGGGGTCAGACTTGGCCCCATGGCAGTGAGTTTGGTTTTGGTTTATGCCGTTATAAATCCTTTTCCATTTAAGATGTTTTTTAGAGATAATCTGGATTGAACCCAGTTCCATTTCTCATATGATGTTGAAGTGATCAAAAAGAAGCCTGAGGAAAAATGCCACGGTCATTTTAAGTTCTAAACACTCAGGTTTTACAAAATGTTCCTTTAAACGATCCAAAACACTTGATATGTGACCTACCAATCTTGAGTCTATAGTAAAAGTAATTTGTACTTCAGAATCTCATCCTCAAACAAGAGCTCATGCATTAGATAGGCCTCTAAAGGTAGCTCACTGGCGTTTATGCCCCGAGTCACCATCGTTTTATTGCAGGAGCTGCTTCCTTTGGTGCTGATGTTTGAGCTGCCCATTGCGGGAATCCTCCAGCCAGTCCCCGACCCCAACGCGCCCTCGATCCAGCACCTCTCTCAGACGCACAACATCTCCGTGACTTTCAAACAGCGCTCCCGGATGTATGGTGCTACTGTCATCGTGCGAGGCTCGCAGAACAACACCAGCGCTGTGAAGGTAAGCAGTGGAGGGCATGCCAAGCATCTTAAGTGTACAAATCATGCGAGTCATATTTTTAAAGCATATATTGGGCTCAATTGTTTTCCAGAAATTTCCCTCATTTTGCTTTATGTGTTGCCTATTTCCATAGCTCTTACAAGGACAGTCGAATCCTTCCATAGGTGTGGCCAGTTCATGTAGAGGGTGACTTTGTCTCCATCTGATTCTCCTAGGAAGGGGCTGCCATGCTGTTAGAACATCTAGCGGGGAGCCTGGCGTCAGCTATTCCTGTGAGCACACAACTAGACATTGCGGCTCAGCATCACCTCTTTATGATGGGTCGAAATGGTAGCAACATCAAACATATCATGCAGAGAACAGGTGCTCAGATCCACTTCCCTGATCCCAGTAATCCACAGAAGAAATCTACTATCTACCTCCAGGGCACCATTGAGTCTGTCTGTCTGGCAAGGCAATATCTCATGGTAAGTTTAGGGAAATGAATGTTATTTTTAAAAATCTCTGTGTATATTATGTGATGCTGTCCATGACAGAAACCTGGTCAAGTAATGATGCTGTTTGGTGAAAGGAAATAGACTGAAAAAGTAAGGTCCATAATACCTCAATAGGCTTTATTTCGTTCCATCGAAGAGAAAACAATGGGACCGGAGGTTCCAGGAGGACAGGAGCGAGAGAGAGAGGGGGAGGAAAGGGAGCGGAGCCAACAAACCCAGGGATAAGGGAACAACAGAGAACTAAAATCGATGGTGAGGAGGGTTTAGAACTCCTGGTGGGGTTTGATCAAGGGCAATGCAGCCGAAAGGAGTTACTGAAACCCGAATGACGGTTGAACATGACAGCGGGACAAGAAGAAAATAAAAAGAACTAGAGGAAAGAACTAGTAGGCAAAAGACATTCATAGAGGTCTAAATATAGGCATGTATATGTAAATATATTAATATTTTAAATATTAATAATGATAGAGATATGGGTCTATGTACATATAGTTATATTTAAGTATCAAGGGAGTAGATACACATTGGGTTTCTACTCAGTCCTCCCTCAACAAAAGAATACTTTATTCTGATAACCTGGCATTCTGTGATTCTCACCTTCCCCACCTGATCGCCAAAGTCAAAATGGGTGCATAAGCAAATGTGGTGAAGAAAACTGATAGTGCCTGGCTATTAGAAGATACAGCATCTGGTGTCTCAAAAGCTTGATGTTAAGCAAGTGGTCAACTAGCAGAGAAGCAACAAAGCCCACATGGAAGAAGCACACCAGCCTGTGTGATCATGAGGTGTCTACAGAATCAGGTATCAGGCAATCAAGTCCCAAAACAAAATCATATGGATGTGAATGAGGGGAGCTGGAGTGGAGACGCAAAGCCCATCTGTAGACAATTGGACATCCCCTCACAGAAGGGTCACAAGGAAGGGACAAGTCAGCCATGGTGCAGCATAGCACCGACAAAACATACAACATTCCTCTAGTTCTTCAAAGTTACCTCCCCGCCACTATCATGACCCCAGTTCTACCTTACAAATCTGGCTAGACTGGAGCATGTACACTGGTACCAATAAGAGCTCTCGACACACAGAATCCAGGACAGATAAAGGTAAACCCCTCAGGAACAATAATGGGAGTAGCATACTGTGAGGGTAAGGGGAAGGTAGGGGCAGAAAGGGGAGAAAGGAGGAACCAATCTCAATGATCGATGTGATGTATTACACCCCCCCCCAGGCTCCCCAGAGACAAACAACAGAAACATAGGTGAAGAGAGACAGTGGATGGTGTAAGATATGAAAATAAGAATAATTTATAGTTTATCAAGGGTTCAGGAGAGTGGGAGGGTGAGAGAGGGAGGGAAAAAAGAGGAACTGATTACCAAGCTCTCAAGAAGAAAGAAAATGTTTTGAAAATAATGATGGCAACTTATGTACAAATGTTCTTGATACAATTGATGTATGGATTGTTATAAGAGCTGTAAGAGCCCCCAATAAAATGATTTGTTAAAAAAACAGACTGAACACAGAATAGGTAGCAATGAAATCAGTGCCTATATTTTGTGGCACGGATGGAAAGTGATTCTTCTTATTTGTCACTTGTCAGTTGTTGTAATAACTTCACTGTGGAAAGCTCCGCATCATCTGGGTCAGTCCTCAGATGTCTGTGTGGTTCAGATGAGATTCAGACAGCTTCCTGCAGCTACTTGTCAACGTTAGCAAAGTGATCAGATTTGTGTCTGTGTGTTCAAGTAACTCAAGCCCCTGGTTAAGTTTAGAAAGCTAGCTCCCTTCAGTAGTGTTTTGTAAATTGTAAAATTGAGCACCTTTGGTTCTGCAGCGGCCTGAGGTGACCTGCCAAAACGGTTTGCTACACACTTGGCCCAGAAACTCCACACAATCATGCAAATCAAGAGGGTCGAATCTCTGGGTCCACGTTAAGAACACCCATGAAACTGCCCAGGCCATCCAGGGAATGCATATCTGGAAACTCACCAAATATTTGAAAGACTTCACTCTGCAGGAGCAGTGTGTACCCTTCCGACGTTACACTGGTGGAGTCAGTAGGTGTCCAGGCCAAACAGCGGGGTTGGACCCAGGGCCGCTGGGCCAAAAAGAGTGCTGAATGTTTGCTGCACATACTTAAAAATGCAAAGAGTCACGCTGAACGGAAGGGTTTAGATGTGGATTCTCTGGTCATTGAGCACATCTAGGTGAACCAAGCCCCCAAGATGCGTCACCGGACTTACAAAGCTCGTGGACAGATCAACCCACCCGTGAGCTCCCCCTGCCGCACTGAAACCATCCTCCCTGAAAAGGAGCACATGGTTCCTAAACCAGAGGAAGAGGCTCTACAGCTCTCCCAGAAGAAACTGTAGAAGCAAAAACTTATGACTGGAGTAAATTAAGCTTAAAATAAAAGTTAATAAAAGTTAAAAACAAAACCTTTGAGTCAACATCTGAGAATGCTAACATCAATCAATGACATGTTGTAACATGGCGTGCAGTGCATAGTGTGACAAGAACAACTCAAATGACTCTTCATAAGTACAGCTCATCATAGCTTGACGATCTCATACACCTGGGTCAATCTGCGTAACAACAGCTTGGAGGAGCAGCATGGCCAGCCCACAGATACTCCTGCTCAAAACACCGTGTGCTTTCCTGTTCAATTCCTGACTTCCCGGGGCATTGGAAGCAGTACGCTCCAGTGTGATCTTTGTTTTGATTAACCTGCAGAATTCATGTTTTCAACACTTTGATAAAATCTGTTTGTAATATTGATTAATTTCCTGCGACAGATGACAGACGTTATAATCAGTAAGAATTATTATGATAACTTAAATTGGTTTTGTTGTAAATGGGATTTTTTTATTTAGCCGACATTACTTATCAGGCCCCTTTTCATATAGCACTATCAGGTAGCATATTCATATCCACGGTTACTTATGGTTTATATTTATTTTTATCTTCTTCAAGAGCTTTAAATGTTACTTTTTAATTCAGTGAGCTTTTTCAAGCATTCTGGAGAATTATAAGTTCGTATTTGTACTTGGATCAAAATAGAGGTGAGCCGTGAACCTGTGGTGCATGAACAGATAGGGTCACTGTGGGAGGGGGAACGCCTCCGGGGCACCTAACAACAAGTGTGACACCCGTGTCTTGCTGCATGCTAGTGGGAAAAAGTAAGAGGTCAAGAAATAAATTGGAAGGATTCTACCTTTATTTTAACTATCACGTTTTTCCCCCTTTAAGTCCATTTCCCCCAAACATATTACTTTTGTCATAAGAGAAATGGAGTATAATGATTACATTTTAACCATAGTATGCTTGATGGGATACTTGTGTACAAAATTAAGTGATACATATGCTAAAATTGAGTATTCTTTATGAATCATAAAAAGTATGTGATGTGCTTAGAAGTCAGGAAATTTTACAAATTGAAAGCCTGAGGGAAAAATTACTTTGCAGTGCAAAAAAGTGAGATGGTTAAAAAAGTGGGGGACAGTAGTAGCATTTTGCTTCAGAAAAGAATTAAAGTTTGAGTTGCGCTTTATGATAAAACCTTGGATTGGTGAAGAAGTCTTTGATGCATTAAGATGCCAATATGCAAACACACGGCTAGGCTAGTTTCCTGGAGAAAGGGACAGACATGGACACTTGCAATGGCTCTGGCCAGACGGACGTCTTTGGCTGCCGAGGCACGTTTCCGCTTCATCCAAGAGGCCGGGAGAAGCCACCACTGTAAGTTGTTGAGCAAGCGCCATATCCGTGCCCTGCCGTGGCTGAGACTCGAGTGTCTATCATGACTGCAAACCTGAGGTCAAAGAATGGAGGTGTTTTGCAAAGTGAAAAGTGGGTAAAACCGTCAGGCTCCCAAATGGAACTTAAGACATAATTTCATCACATCAAAAAAAGTCTCTATCGTTTGATATTATCTCAATACCAACCATCTAAGTGAAATGAAAGCATGTGAGTTAGCTTTCACCTTTTAGTGTATGTAAAATATTACATTATTTATAGACATGTTAAATTATCTGGTGTTTAAATAATTAACTGATTACCTCCAACACATTCTATGTTTGCATTTCTAGGGTTGTCTTCCTCTTGTGTTGATGTTTGATATGAAGGAAGAAATTGAAGTAGATCCACAATTCATTGCTCAATTGATGGAACAGCTTGATGTCTTCATCAGTATTAAACCAAAGCCAAAACAACCAAGCAAGGTTGGTTTAGAATTTGGACCAAAGATCCCAAAGCTATGTGTATTTATTCTGCATACATTTGCATATTCTTAACTGATAGTCTATATAATATGTAGCCTTATAATTATTTTATATACATACAAATTGGTAATAACATTGATTATTGGTCTCTGTTTTCTTCATCTATATCCAAGGGGGTTTCAAAAATGTTCTTGGAAAAATGGAATAAAAAATGTTGGTTTTTGAAGGCCATTCTTAGTAGCCATTTTTTTCCTATTAAAAATATGTGAGAGGAAAAAATATTCTTATTAACTTGCAATCTGATAACTTTAAGCTTTACTGAGCTAGAGAGCTGATAAGGCTAATAAGCATTCAGTCTGTGTGTATGCATGTATCCAGTGCAGTTCAGAAGGATTAGTGTAATCAACTGTGTGCCTGACATTGTGCTACTTTAAGTATTGCGTTGGCCAAGTTCAGCCTTCTCTCAGAGCCCTTTATTGTGTGATATTACAAAATTTCAATAACTACATGTAGAATTAAAATTGAATAGGTAAAACTGGTGATACTAAGTATCAGAGAGGATGTAAGCGAAGGAGGTGCTCTCATATGACTGCTGTGTAAATTGGCGCCATGTTGGAGAGCACTTGGAGACCATCTAGTCTCCCGGAAAATGCTGATTCCACTATCAATTCCGTATTTATCTACATACCTTGTAGAAGATTCTTGCACCAAATGGGCAGGAAGGACCTTGAGTGAAAAAAAAAGCAAGTTTCACTAAAGCATGTACTAAATGCTAATATTTATTTATGTTTTTTAAAAGTACAGTGTGTTGTCTGGAACAATACACATCAAATTCAGAATGATTCGGAGGAAGGAAAATGAGACAAGGAACGTCAACAAAGGAAATGTGTGGTTTTTTAAAACTTTGTCAAAATTTTTAACAAAATAATTTATATTTAATTCTAGGTGAATAAGTACACGGGTACTATATTGATTTTGGTTTTCTGCATTAAAAAATCAAAATATGCAGATTTATCAAATGTAAATTATTAAGTTTCTTGAAATTTTAGAGGACAAAAAATGCTAATTTCTCAATCCAAGTCGAAGTTTCTGAGTAGGCAAAATACCAAGTATGTGTGCCTTCCATTTTTATAATTTCCTAAATTATAAATGTCATATATGCCTAATGATATATGTATTCTATGACATTTGTCTAATTATAAATTATATGCCCCACATTATGCATTACAAGAACAATCATGTTCTCTTCAGTAGAGAACTTGGAGAAACCATTGGTGTCATGAGTTTGATGTGATGAGTATAAAGTGGAGCAAAGGACCTTAATTTTATGTATCATAAAGCTTCATGTTTGATTTCATGCATTACTTGATTAGAATACTGTTGCTACCAGGGCTAAAGGTAAAGGTAGAAGAGACATTGTAGAACTAGTCATTGTTGACATGGACGGACACAGGAGGACTCCCCCAGTACATCAAGAATGAGCCCAGAGCAGGCACAAAGCGATGGTCGGAGAGAATGCCGAAGCACCCTTGGCAGCTGGGATCGTTTGATTATGTCTAGTTGGCTCCAATTCTGCCTGCTGTTTTAACGGCTTTTTCATCCACAAATTTTCTTTATTGACTATTGGAAGATTCCCCCCCCCCTCCCCTCTTTTAATGTATGGGGCATTTATTTTTGATACATTTCATTTCTCGTAAGCTTTTTGACATTGTGTCATTAGGGAGAAATAGTGGCCCTGAAACACTGTTCCTTCACCAGTAAAAGATGAACACCAGAAGTCAGTGACTTATTCTGCCATCTCTGCATAGTGACTCGTTGGTTTGTAAAGAGGAGCTCACGTAGGCAACAGTTTCAATTGTAAAGATAGGAGGTTGTGAAAGAGAAGGGGCTGTAGAGAGGCCCCCGAAGTCTGTTCCTCTTGCTGACCCCAAAGGGCTTGGCGGCAACCTTGAGTGAGCCCTTCAACTGCATGGATGCTCTCTGATGGCTCATGAGTCCCACCATCTATGGGTTGGGCATGGATTGGAATATATGTAAAGCGTCTATCACAATATCTAGAACCCAGGGCACCGTTAATAAATAACATTTTATGGTCTTCCCAAAATTAGTAGACTTAAGAAATAAGTGGGTAGAAGTTGATTTTAGACTGCATTCATCTAGACCCTGAACTGAATTCGTGTTAGCATATTTATTCCTGACCTCTCCCACCCTCCCCCAATGCACTGTAGACTACGTGTATGTCACTTCCCCCCATTATGTGTTTTCATAGTCTGTGATTGTGAAAAGTGTGGAGCGAAATGCCTTAAATATGTATGAAGCAAGGAAATGTCTCCTCGGACTTGAAAGCAGTGGGGTTACCATGGCAACCGGCCCATCCCCAGCGTCATGCCCTGCCGGCCTGGCATGTCCCAGCTTGGATATTTTAGCTTCAGCAGGCCTTGGACTCACTGGACTAGGTATCGCCTTTATCCTTACAGTTCTTCTCAGTCACGGGGAGGGGGCGGGGGCGGGGGCGGGTTATCCTGCCCCCATTTTTCTACCACGTGGGTCTATGTTTTACAGGCCATTTATTTTCCTCCTAAGCCCTAAAATCAGGCAAAAAACAACAACCCCCAAACCAACAAACTGTGAATCGATCCCTTTGCGGTTTTGGTTTTTGCTCGATTCTGGATTTCTGTTATAACGGTTCTTTCCACGTTGGCGTAGATAATCAGGGTCCGCTGGTTTGACTCGTATTGGCTGGGTTTGCTCATCCAAGTGAAGAATGCCGTGGAGAGTGAAGTGAGCAGACGGACTGGAATCCATGTGTTTGTTCTCTTTGCATTTGCAATATTGCCATTGATCCCTAGGGAGAAAGATTATCCAGTTTGCTTTTCAAAAAGTAATTGCCCATCTGCGTGAGGGCTGGGGAACGGGAGAGGGGAAGGCAGGCGGAGCACCTGTCCCCGGAGGTTAGGCCTGCGTTGGCGAGACACAGAGGAAATCTAATGGGCAGCCGCCGAGGGAAGCAAATGGAAATGTATTTATATCGAAGGCAAGGAAAATAACAATGAATGAACACCCTGCCTGTGCTTTAGTTCTGTAGGAAGTAGGGGAACTGCTTTCATGGTCCTGGTGAAATTGATTGTCTCTTGTATGGATTTTTGTCTGAAAGACTGAAGGTAGTTGCTTTATTACAATTAGGTGAGGTATACTTTTTTATACATTTCATTTGCCATCATGCAGTGACACAATAATCCTAGCAAATTGTCCTGCCTCATTACAAGGCTAGATTTGATTTGTGAAATTAAAAAGAAAAAAAAAAAGCTCGGCAATTAAAAAAAATTCCAACACCTTACTTTAAAAATGTATTCCACACGTCAATATTGATACTATCTTGGTCTGAACATCTTGAATAAATATGCATATTGACTTTAACTTCATTCATTTTAGGTCTTTTGGGGCCCACCTCCTTATCTCTAAATACGTCTGCAACACCAAATTCACTGTTGAATGCTCTCAATAGCTCAGTCAGTCCTTTGCAAAGTCCAAGTTCTGGTGCCCCCAGCCCCACGTTATGGGCGCCACCACTTGCTAATACTTCAAGTGCAACAGGTCGGTATCATTTAAACATATTAGAATGTGTGTCTTAGGTTTTGTACGTTTTTAAATAAAATTATCCAGTTGTTTAGCTTCTTTAGGGAAAACCCTTAGTTCAAAATGTGTCAAATAGAAGACTCAAGTGTTGAGTAAATGAATTAAATGAAAACGCAGTGATTTCTTAATAAAAGTAAAATAGTATCTTCAAAAGAGTGTGCTTCTGTAGGGAGCAATGGCAAAGGCATACAAAGACCTGGTAATTAAGAAATGTAGATCGACTCACTTCATTGCTTTTGGTATGTGCCAGATTTAGAGAGCTGTCTCATTGTGTACTATGAGAAGCTTGGATTAAAGAGTCTCGCGTGTTCTTCCATTTTAACCTTCTTTGGTTGTGGTGTTTAAAATAGTATTATGCAACTTATTTATAGAGAGGCACCAACATTGTGTCGTGTCCTTGTGAATTTATAGTTCGAACGAGTGTCAGCTCCTTGTTAGCTAACCGTTGGTGATGGTGTTTCCCTGCTCCAACGTCTGTATACCTTCCATGTTGTTTCAGGTTTTTCTGCTATCCCACACCTCATGATTCCATCCACCGCTCATGCCACACTAACCAATATTTTGCTATCTGGAGTGCCTGCCTATGGCCACACCGCTCCATCTCCCCCTCCTGGCTTGACTCCTGTTGATGTTCACATCAGCAGTTTGCAAACAGAAGGCCCAAAAATACCTGCTTTAAATGGACATGCACAGGTAATGGACACCCTTCACCCAGAGTAGTGGGATCTATGCAGTTTGTAAGAAGTCAGAGGTAACAGCTTAAAACCTCAACCTGAAATGAATTTAAAGTGGCAAAACTGTGACTATGTCTGTCTGCATGTTGTTTTCTGTTATTTCAGTCTACAAGCATAAAATATGGCGCCATATCCACTTCACCGCTGGGAGAAAAGGTGTTGAATGCAAATCACAGTGATCCATCCAGACAAACAACTGGGTCTGAGCAAGCAGCTCCCAAATCAAGCCCCCAAGAAGGTTGAGAATCCTATCTTTACTTCTGAACTTAAGCCTGGTCTATCATTGGATGAAGGGGGTTGTAGAGTATGTGCAGTGAGTGATTTTGAGTTGGCTTTGTCAACCAATTGTGACTCATCTACTTAGCTTTTAGTGAGATGTCTATATGGATATAAAGCTGTATCCATATAGATAAAAATGTATGCGTGTGTGTGTGTGTACATGTACACATACAAAAGCCTTGAAAAGGTAGTGGAAAATTGCATTAGATTTTATTTCCATTATTTCACAAAACTTTTGAACCCCTTCCCTAGTCTATGTGTAAATGTGTATCAAAAATTATTGCCACAAGGGTAGCCATAGAGATTTAAATACAAGCATATAACGATGTAAATATTTTTATATATGATTAGGGGGAAATAGATCTAAGTATATATATTTATAGGTTGAGTATTAAGAAAACAGATGGACAGTGGGCCCCTGCACAAGTACTCCCTCAACACAAGAACACTTTGTTCTAACAATTCGGCAGTCTGAGATGCTCACCTTCCTGGCACGATCGATGAAGACAATGGATGCACAAGCAAATGTGGTGAAGAAAGCTGATGGTGACCGGCTACCAAAATATATAGCACCTGAAGTCGCTGAAGACAATGGGTGCACAAGCAAATGTGGTGAAGAAAGCTGATGGTGCCCGGCCACCAAAAGATATAGCACCTGAAGTCTTAAAGACCTGATGATAAATAAGCAGCCATCTAGCTGAGAGACAATAAAACCCACGTGGAAGAAGCACACCAGCCTGTCCCAACTCGATCGCTGAGAACAAAGTGGGTGCATAAGCAAAAGTGGTGAAGAAAGCTGATGGTGCCTGGCTATCAAATGATATAACGTCTGGGGTCTTAAAGGCTTGAAGATAAACAGGCAGCCATCTAGCTCAGAAGCTACAAAGCCCACATGGAAGAAGCACACCAGCTTACCCCGACACGAATGCTGAAGACAAAGTGGGTGCATGGGTAAATGCGGTGAAGAAAGCTGACGGTGCCTGGCTGTCAAAATATAATCTGGGGTCCTATAGGCTGGAAGATAAACAAGGGGCCATCTAACTTAGAAACAACAAAGCCCACATGGAAGAAGCCCACCACCAGCCTGTGAGATCACAAGGCGTCGAAGGCATCAGGTATCAGGCATCAAAGACCAAAAAAATAAAAATCATAGCATTGTGAATGAGGGGGAGTGTGTTGTGGGGACCCAGGGCCCATCTGTGGGAAATTGGACATCCCCTTGCAGAAGGGCTGCGGGGAGGAGACGAGCCAGTCAGGGTGCAGTGTAGCAACGATGAAGTATACAATTTTTCTCTAGTTCTTGAATGCTTCCTCCCCTCCACTATCATGATCCCAATTCTACCTTACATATCCGGCTGGACCGGAGGATGTACACTGGCACAGATAGGAACTGGAAATACAGGGAATCCAGGACAGATGAACCCCTCAGGATCAGTGGTGAGAGTGGCGATATCGGGAGGGTGGAGGGAAGGGGAGGGAGAAAGGAGGAACAGATTACAAAGTCTACATATAACCCTCTCCCTGGGGGATGGACAGTGGAGAAGTGGGTGAGGGAGACCTCAGATGGTGTAAGATATGATAAAATAATAATAATTTATAAATTATCAAGAGTCCAGGGGGATGGGGGAGTGGGGCGAAAATGAGGAGCTGATACCAAGTAGAAAGCAGGTGTTTTGAGAATGATGATGGCAACATAGCTGGGCACACTTGATGTATGTATGGACTGTGATAAGAGTTGTATGAGCCCCTAATAAAGTGATTTAAAAAAATTATTGCCACAAAATCATAGAAACCTTTATTAAAGAAAAATATCAAATGTGGCGCTCCTGTTCCTGACAGACCGTACATCTAGATCCCTGTATTTCCAAAGGAGGTGGTCCCATCTCTCTAACCCTTCCCTAAAATATTCTGTACTATCTGATTTTCACCACACCAAAGTGGCAATTTGGGAGTTCTCCAGGCACTCCAATCATGGTCCTTTTCAGTGTTGTTTGCGTTTTGAGAACAAAAAGAGAACTGAATACATAATCAGGGTTGTGGAGTGAAGGGGTAAGTCTTCACAATGAAATTCTTCTAGAATGGTCCTTACTATTTTGAAGAATAAGCAGTTTCATTGTGATGGGGGGGCGGTGGGGGGGGGTTGTAACTTTCCTGGCTTTTTCTCACCAATTCGGTTTTTCATATTCTGAAAACGTCTTCACAATAAGCCCTCATGATTGTCCTGTGCCCTTTGGGATAATTTAAAGTGAGATTACCACTTTGTAATTCCAGAAAACCGTTGCATACTGTGAATTTAAAGGGCCCAGTAGCTCCCCTTGGAAACCACTCTACACCATTTTGGTAAATCTAAGAGATTCATCCCTGATTACAATTTATTCTATAAAACCATCTTTATTAGCTTTGATCTTGCTCAAAAGGCTGAAGAGAAGATCAGCTCCTTCAGTTATCTGATCTGTGTGCAGTACTTTTGGCTGCAATCCCACTGAAAGCTTCCAGAAGCCAAAATGTTTTCTGAAAATTGAAGTTGCTGAGCCCTGTTGTATACCAACTTAATTATCTATTACATCAATGAAAAGTCTACAATCTTCTTCCATCAGTTTCTGAACTTCAACCAGTTTCTTCATTTGTGAAGATCGATGGCCTTTTCTCTTGGCTCATTTTTGAGGTCTTCCTGATATTTCTTAAAAAGCTGGATCCATGCGAAAACTTGTTTCCTGAAGAAACGCCTGCTCCGATACCATCCTCAAAATCATTGCTAAGTTCCAGCTCTCTGTTACAGCTTCTGTCTGCATCTAATTGAGGATGCTCCTCTCTTTTTTTGTTTTTCACCAACACTCTACCATTCAAGGCATGAAACCCTTCTCCTGGGACTGGGCCCACCTGAGACCATGTCCTACGCCTCTGAGACAGTCTCAACGACCTCACTTCTAGGGAGAATTCCGACACGATAGATTGGTTCATCCTTCTGATGGACCCTGGTGCTCTCAGTATTCTTCACCAATACCATCATCAAATCCATCCGTTCTCTTCCAGGATTCCTTATTTATTGTTCAGTTTTCACATGCTTATAAGGTCTTTGAAAATGCCATGGTTTGGGTCAGGTGCAGGAGCCCTGGTGGTGCAGTGCTTATGCCTTGGGCTTCTAACTGCACGGTTGGCAGTTTGAAACCACCAGGAGCTCATGAGAGAAAGAATTGGCTTTCTACTCCAGTAAATAGTTACCATCTCAGAAGCCCAGAGGAGATCACTGTGAGTCAGCACTGACTCAGCGGCAGTGAGTTTGGGTCCTGGTTTGTGGAGCAGGTGCACTTTAGTCCTCAAAGTGACGTTTTTGCTTTGGCACACCTGAAAGGTCTGTGGCAGCAGATTTGCACAGTGCAACATGCCATGAAATCTCTTGATTGCTTCCAGGAGCCACGCAAAATCCAAACAAAATTGATCCAAGCAAAATGACATCTTTATCACATCAATCGTTTCTGCATATTTTTCACGATGATATTTATTGATCTAGTTGTAAGGATTTTTGTTTTCCTTATCCATACTGAAGGCTGTGGACTTTGATCTGTGTTAGTTACATGCTTAAATTCCTCTTCTCTTTCAGCAAGTGAGGTTGAGTCATCTGGATATTGCAGGTTGTTAATTAGCTAATTAGTTAATTAGTTGTTAAGCCAGGTTGTTCAGAGACGCAAAACCAGTGAGTATATCTCCATATCCGCCTCTTCACTGTCACTGCCTTACCATGGTGTTTCTAGTGCTGTTGTGATGCTGTGAGATATGCCACTGGTAAGATATTCCAAATACCAGTAGGCCCATCCCAAGTGGACAGGTTTCAGTAGAGGTTCTAAACTAAGACCAGACTACACAGAAGGACTAGGCTATCGACTACTGAGGAGTTACCCAAGGAAAACCTTATAGATAACTTGGGAACATTGTCAAATATTGAAAACCTCATGAATAGAAGCAGAACATTTTCCAAGATAATGCCAGAAGATAAACACCTCAGGTCAGAAGGCATTCAAAAGATGAATAAGGAAAAGCTCTCTTCTCAACGTAGAGGTCCATAATGATGTGGATGGAGTAAAGCCTATGGGCATAAAGCCATTGGGACCTTCATTTGCTGATGGGGCCCCACTCAAAATGAAAAGAGACAGCTGCAAACCGAGGACCTTGGCATGTTTGAAGTATGAATCAAGGAGAATTGGAAGCTGTGAAAATTGAAATAAAGTGCATAAAGAGAGACAGTCTCAGTGTCAGTGAGCTGAAATGGACTGTACTGGACATTTTGAATCAGAAAACTATATGGTTTACTATGCTGAGAATGAGAGATAGAAGATTAATGAGGTCACATTTATCATCAAAAAGGACATTTCAAGATTCATTTTGAGATATAGTGCTGTCTGTGATGGGATAATATCTCTAAACCCATGCAAGCACCAACCACTAAAGCTAGTGATGCAGAAGCTGAAGAATTCAACCATTGAATTAGGGTACTGGTGAAGGATATTGGAAGTGCCGTGGACTTTCAAAAGAACAAACAAAGCTGTCTTGACAGAGGTACAGTCACAATGCTCCTTAAAGGCAAAGATGATGAGACACCATCTCAAGTACTTTGGACCTGTTATCGGTAGAGACCAGTTCCTGGAGAAGGACACTATGCTTGGTAAAATAGAGGGGCAATGGGAAATAGGAAGACCCTCGACAAGATGGACTGACACTGTGGCTACAACAACGGGCTGAAACATCAGAACAATGATTAAAATGGTGCAGGGCCAGGCAAATTTTTGTTCTGTTGTACCCAGGGTCCATGTGAGTTGGAACCAACTTGATGAATTACACAACAGCAACAACAACAACACACACACACACACAAAGAGCTTTATATCAAGGAAATGGAAATGGCCCACATAGTTGTAGAAGCAGGTAAGTACAGTCTGGTTCAAGTCCATGTATCCTATTCAAACTGGTGGCTTTTCCTGACTCCTGTAGTTGCCAGGCTGGTGAACCAAGAAGCAGGAAGACCATAGTTGGTGGAGACAGAGGTTGAAGAAGCCAAGGTCAGCAGGCAATATCTTAGGCCACTGATAGTTCCCATGGTCATCAGGAAATATGGACGGCCATTGACTCAAATCCAAAGAACCATTGGTGGATGAGACAGATGTAGGATCCAGATGCAACAAGAAGAGCCCAGACTTCCCACAGTCTGCTTGAATAGGAGTATGCCATACCCCCAAAGTACTGCCTTTCATTGCACCCCACCCTGCTCGCAGGGTAGTTTCATTCCTTGATTGTTCACAGCAGAGTTCATCATGGAGTTGATTGCATTATGCCAGATCACATCACATCACATCACATCACATCACATCACATCACATCACATCACATCACATCACATCACATCATCATCACATCACACATCACATCACATCACACATCACATCACATCATCACATCACATCACATGGAAGCCTTTAAATGCCAAACTAGAGAGAATCCTGGCCAAGCCCAATTGCCACAAAGTCTAACTATCATAGCCTTCTTTTAATCTTGATGCACATTCTTCATATAGTCTAGCTTCTCAGATTCTTTGGTTAGCAGAAAGATTGAGTAATTATCATACAGGATTACCCTGCTGCACACCTTTCATGATTTTAAACCACATAAGATTCCCGTTCTGTTCCAGTGACTGCCTCTTGCCCTATTTACAAGTTCTGTAAGAGTATGCTAAGTGTTCTGGAATCTCCATTCTTCACAGTGTTATCTATGCACTGTTGAAGGCCTTTTCCTAGTCACAACACACGATTCGGTATTCTGATAATCAGCAGGGCTATCCCTGTTTCAAGTACTCTTCTGAGTCAGGCTGGAATTTCTGTAGTTCCCAACGTGCTGATGCAATGGTTTTCGAATGATTACAAAATTATATATATAATTATATGTGAAATTATATTCATATAGTTGTACTCATAAAATTATATAATCACATGAAACCAATCACATGTATGATTGCACATGCAGCCCTACAGGGCTTCTGAGACTAGATGGGAGCAGGTAGCCCCATCTTTTTTGCCTTTCTCCTGTGAAGTGGTTCGTGGGTTGAGATCATGGTTGGCGGTTCAACACATACCCCACACGGGCATCAGAGATCATGTATATGTATAGTTTTTAAAATAACCTCTTTACTGCAATCTTTAAAACCTATGAAGGTCTTCTCTTTACATTTTATCTGTGCTTTTGCGGCAGGCCTAGTGTGTTAACGTGCCCTCCACGGTTACACATGTTCTTGTTATGCCTTGTTGAGCCCATCAAGCTAACACTGCCTCTGTAGCGTTGGATTTGGGTTTGCTTCCATTGCACATGATTTTCAGCTTCTTTCTCTTTTCTCCATTACAGGTTGTAATGATGCTTTTGTGGAAGTAGGCATGCCTCGAAGCCCTTCCCATTCTGCCAATGCTGGTGACTTGAAACAAATGATGGGGCCTTCCAAAGTTTCCTGCACCAAGAGACAGACAGTGGAATTATTGCAAGGCACAAAAAACTCACACTTACAGTATGTATTTCAGTCTTATTCACACTTACAGTATGTATTTTAATCTTAACAGCCCCTTACCTTTGAAAGAAAGTGAATTTGTTTTAAACTCAATACTGGGATCACTTTGGTTCAAATAAAATTTGAACTCTTCCATAGGTTTTTCTCATTTATCTTTATAATTGTATATTCTTTTAACATATGTTCTTTAAATTTTTTATTAAGGAATAGTATCTGGTCATGTCTGTCCCTTTATATCTTCTGTATAGTCCTTCCTGATTTTTCAGGTTGGGTTTTTAAAACCTGTGCTCCTCAGTTCTCTGGCTCCCTAGACATGGTCACATTTTCCGTCGATTAGTCATCTGCAGGGTGATTTTGCTGCGTGCTCTTTGCTTGTGAAATATCCTCCAAGTTTCTCCTTCCTTTCACTGTGAATCTGCTTGGTCAGCTGTGGACCACTTTTTCCAAGATGTTCCACATTTAGGAAATACATGCTCATCAGTGTTTGCTTTTATTTATGGTAAATCACATCAAGTATAGACACATCGATTGTATTAAATGCAACTCGGTCTGATAGTACAGCTCCATGTATACCTTTACTACTGTGCTCTATTTTCATTTTTTTCAAAAAGCATTCAATTCTCCTGTTCCTATCAATTTCTACCCACCAGATTTCCTCCATTATCTTGTTGATTTCTTAAGCTGCCTTCCAGTTCCTTGATGTAAATATAAACATATATTCTTATCCCTTCCCTTATTAGAATCAGTTTAACTTTGATAACTTCTATGGTCAGTTAATTATCATTGGTGTCATTTTGTGCAAATCTGATTTATCTGTTTTTCTTTTGGTAATACTACTATCCAAAATTAATGTAATTTAACACAGGTTGGATAAACAATTTTGCTTTCTTTCACATATGGAAACATTTTATATATATTCACCAATGGGCATGCTCTAAACCTCTGCATCAGTTGTGAGGATTAATCTGCAGCTTACAGGACAGCCCACCTGCATGTCATCTCTCATCAGCTCCATCAGTCCTTGACTTGGCTGCCATGAATTTTTTTGGAACCATGAGTCTGACTGATCTTGCCATGCTCTGGTTTAAAACCTCCAAGCATTGCATGCTCTTCTTCGGCATATGCTGTTCCCTCTGCGGTGCTGTTCTCCTGTCATTTTGCCCCAGTGAACCTGCAGGGTGGACCTCAGACCAGTTGTCCTCTGCGGAGCTTCCTCTTCTGTCACGCAAAGCTCACTGCCCCTCTTTTTGTATTCAAATACCTTTTGTATTCCAGTAGCCAGACGTTTTATCTTTTATTTTTTTCTGCAATGTCTCTTTTTAAAAAAAAACATTATTTTAATAAATAATTTTATTGGGGGTTCTTACAGGTCTTTATAACAATTCATACATCAATTGTATAAAGTACAATTGTACATATGTTTCCATCATCATTTCTGAAACCTTTTCTTTCTCTTTAAGCCCTCTAACCAGCCTTTTAAAATAGCTCTAAATGCCCCCAAATGCAACTGAATAGTTGAATGAATAAAAGAATGACAAAGTTGGTTTTTTAATATTTTTTCTTACCATTTTTACTTGAGCTTAATAAAGAGTTGGATTTGAACTTGAAATACCTATGTCTATTATGTATCATGTAAAGTAAGTCAGCTGCCCAGTGTAAGAAACATTTTATGCTCTGTGCATCTTAAATGGCCATTGGAAAATAATTATTATTTATCTACTGTCGCTATATGATATCAATATTATATGCTTTACTCGCACATAAATTAGATCATCTATATGTCTCCAGATTAACTGTGTCTTTGATTAGACACCATAGGCATAAGTCATTGATACCTCCTTGATGCAGAAAACTTAGAAATATCTGTACCATATACAATATACAATATGTACCATATACAAGATACCATATATGCTATTTACAGTATGTGAATGTATATCGTAAAGTAATTTTAAGCTCCGGTTCTAGATTTTGAAAGTCTGGGGTAGATTTTCAGTTCTACCATTTACCATAAATGTGACCTTGGGCAAGGTACCAGCCTCATTTGGAAATGGGGACAATGGAACTGCCTACCTTATAGGAGTGTTGTGAAGAGCAAGTAGTAGCACAGTGCACGTGAATGAGAATGGCAAGCTCACATTCCATGCATTCAGTGTGTGTAGAGTGCAGTGTCCAATTCCAAACTTTATTTCACAGTAGCACTGACCGGTTGCTCTCAGACTCAGAACTGAGCGCTTCGGAAAGCCCTTTGACTGACAAGAAGGCTCCCGGGAGTGAGCGTGCGGCAGAGAGGGCAGCAGCTGCCCAGCACAACTCCGAAAGAGCCCGCCTTGCCCCTCGACCATCATATGTCAACATGCAGGTAATGGTAATAAAAGAGCAAAGTCTGTCCCAGTGCCGGGTGCTGGGGTATGGGTATGGAGAATCCAGATGGTGTTCAGAAATAGAACAGAGTGTTTTCCTGTTGGTCAGCATGAAACTTAAATTGTATATGCAGTAGTTAGGAATTTTTTTTAAGTTGAAAATAAGGTGCAAGATTCAGCTTAAGTAACAAAAATCCTTTAAACTATAAAATGGCCATTAGGTCTTACACAATCAACATTATTCAACTGCTGTTTTCAAAAATATAAATGTGAGACTGGTCTCTAAATATCTCTGCCTCCTCACGTGGTCTTTAGGTGTATTTTGATCTCATTTCATAGGTAAATTTAATACCAGTTGATACCAATGATAAATTTCTGGTACCATAAATTTCTCAACCTTCCTAATGCCATGACTCTTTAATACTGTTCCTCATGTTGTGGTGACCCTCCCCAACCATAAAATTATTTTCATTGCTACTTCATAACTAATTTAGCTACTGTTATGAATTGGGTGATTCCTGTAAAAAGGTCGTTCGACCCCCAAAGGGATCACAACCCACAGGTTGAGAACCGCTGAGTTAGAGGCACTTATAGGAATAACTAATGTGAAGAGTTAGTTCTTTGAAACTACATGTTGAATATTATTGTTGATTATGTTACTTTGCTAATTTTTATGATTATTTTAAATTCCTCAATTTCCTTTCAAATGTAGCCATTTTCAAAATGTCAGGCTAGTTACTTACTTAGTCAAAGCAGACTGTTGACCATCAAATTCAGACATAAAGTTTCCATGTGGATCACAATATGAAAGACAAGTATTTTTTCTTAGTGCCTTTAGAGAACCCTATAAGCATTTGATTTCAGTATCAGAATTAGTGGGTAGACTTGCTCCTGTCCCTTCTGCCTCTAAAATGAACAGAAACTTTTAACAAAATCCTGGGAGTGCAGTGGGGAGATGTCATAAATACAGCCACAAAACCAATTTAAAGAACACAATTGTTGTTAGTTGTCCTTGTGTGGATTCGGACCCAGATAAGCCAGGTGGCCGAGCAGAACTCTCAGCAGAACTGGCAGGCTGTGAGCTACCAGAAATAGCCTATCAAAAAGGTCTTTAGTGGTACCTCTCATGGGGTTTGAGCTACCAACCTCTCAACTAGTGGTCCAGGACTTAAATGTTTGAGCTACTCATGAGGGACTATCATACTTGTATAATTCCAGTTTAAACTACAGTCCACTTGGCTTTATTTTAATTCTTTGCATTTGAAACATCTCCATGGGGTTTAGATGTTTTCATAAAAGCTATGGTCTTTACAGGAGCCCTGTGACAGCACATTGGGTTAATCAATGGGGCTGCTAACTGAAAGGTCAGTGGTTCAAACCCACCAGCTGCTCTGCAGGAGAAGGACGAGGTTTCTGTAAGAAGTGACAAGTTCCGAAACCTGAAGGCACAGTTCTCCTCTGTCCTGTAGAGTGCTATGAGTTGGAATAGACTTGATATCAGTCTTTATAATGTTCAGACTATTAAAAATGCATTATAATAAAAACTATCAAAAAATCCTCAAGTATTTAAAAAAATTCTTTATAATGTGTCAGAGGAGCGCTGGTGTTGTAGTATTTACACATTGGGAGAAAGATGGGGCTTTCTACTCCCACAAAGAATTACAGTCTTGGAAACTCACAGGGGCAGTTCTACCTTGTCCTAGAGGGTCACTGTGAGTCAGCATTGAATCCATGGTGGTGAGGGGTTTTGTTTTTTTTGTTTGGTTGGTTCTATATTGTGTCAATGTTGTGTTTTTAAAAAAGGTAATTAACTTTTTCTCTGGTGATTCCATTTTCAATGACTGTAAATCATCTACTCATCTCAAACAGAGCTGTTCGGATCCCTTCATGGTTTCTGGTCCTAATGTGGTTTGCTTATAAATCTTCATTTCCATCAGGTGAACCAACTTCATTTGCCTTCTAGAGTGAATGAGAATGTTTTTGATGATAGAGTTTCAACTTAAGTAGATGAATTTATGCCATTAGTAATAGCTGACTCTTGTAATCACAGAGAAATCAATGGTAATCATCAGAAGCATTGACAGGGACCAGGGAGAGCTGACAGGCAGGAAGATAGGTTTCCCTGCCTCTCTCCATGGGACATGATCTCTGTGTTCCAGCTGCTTCAACGAGAGCTATACGTGCAGCGCTCTTTTCACACTTACCTCACGTCCTCCCAATTTCTTTTACATTTATTTCCCTTACACACCCCTTCCAAGACTCTAAATATTTGATGGAAGAGATTATTTTTTATTCCTTAACGATGTTCTTTCACAATGTTCAGCACAGCCCTTTTCGCCAGTAGACACGTAGTATTTTCTGAAATAGTGAGTGAAGGTTGGCCCCACAGCTTGCCCTTAGACATTAAACATTGGAAGTTTATTTAACCCCTCCACCCATTTTGGACCTTGCCGCTTTTGCTCGGCTACACCATCAAGCTTCATTGTGTAGCAATCTGCCTCTCCTGTTTTACTGCCATATTCTTAGGGTGTCATACTTTGTGGTTCGCCGGGAATAGCCCCTGTTTACTTTTATTGTGCTGGTCTAATTATTACTTGCACACATTTTACTCTCAGGAATTTCCTGTTTTAAACCATAAATTATGTGGACACTCTATTTAGGATGGTATAATCCTCCTGGAAGAAAGGGTAAAGAACTCTTTACAATTGGTTCTTCACCCTTCTGGCCAGGCCTTTAGGACACCCTTGAATCAAGTCTTATTTAATCCCTCAATTGAAGTTAACAGCATTGGATTAGCAATTTGATCTGTGTGTGCTATGTTTGGGCTACTTTGTTTTATCAGTACCAGTCACCATCCCCCAGGAAGCCTGGCTGTGCCCAGTTTCCCAGGCGGGGTAGCTTTATGAATGAACGGGGCTATTGGAGTCCCGTGCAATAACAGTTGATTCTATTTAATTTTATGGCGTTACTTAATGTCATTAGAGATTCAAGATGAATGAAAGTATGATGCTTATTGTTTACTTCAGTTCCAATGTACAGGCTGCTAATTAGGCCAAATAATGGCTTACGTTGTCTTGACTGCATACCACTTGAGGCCCTGCTTATCTAAATTTAAGTGGGGATTTGGAGAAAGAAGTGGGGCCAATAAACACTGGAAAGTAATCTGCTTGTGTGGTATTTCTTTGAAACTCAACGTAACCATTACAAATTAGTCACAATATTGCAGTTTATATTGGTCATGGCACGGTAACTATTCATAGTAAATAAGATTTTTTTCTTTTTGAAGGAAAAATTATAGCTGCTGTCATGGCCTTGACTTAACGTCCAAAGTAGCCATTTATCATTCTAGCTAATTAGTTTTGAAAGCATTTTTAAATGTGTCAGACTTGCATTGCGTGACTGTCAGATTCCTTGCAAAACTTCCCAGTTGTCCTGGGAAGATGCATTGCCCTCATTCAGAACCTCTGCTCTCAGATCATAGAGCGACTGTCGTGGCATTTGGAAAGACTGGCACTAAAGATATTTTCTCTCTGTATCCTTTCCAGGCATTTGACTATGAACAAAAGAAGCTATTAGCAACAAAAGGTATATATGGCATTAACTACCTATACGTTGATTCTTATTCTCAGTTGCCCCAGAAAAGGTTTTCCATTATTTACGGTAAAATGACCCATTGACCCTGCACTCATCAAAAGCATTCTAGAATGTTCAGGTTCCAGTTGCACAAATTTTGTAAGGGTCAAATTTATTTTGCTGAATAGATGAACATCAGATTAAGATTCTTACCATTGCTCTGAGTCAAGTGATCAAGAAATTTGAGGGCATTTTCTTTTGAGAAATAGCAGTTAGCAATCATTTCTTCATATGTGTCCAAAAACAATGCATATCAAATATTAATTCCTATTTTAGGGCATACATTAAAAATATCAAGTATGTTGTCTTATCTTGTGTCTTCCAAAGCGATGTTGAAGAAACCAGTGGTGACTGAGGTCAGAACACCCACAAATACCTGGAGTGGCCTGGGATTTTCTAAATCGATGCCAGCAGAGACTATCAAGGAGCTGCGGCGGGCCAATCACGTTCCCTATAAACCCACAATGACAACCACGTATGAGGTTTGTAGCGTCATTCCCGACTGATTCTTCCTCTCGGATGTCTCACCCAAAGAGGACAGTCTTCTCGTCCCTTCCCATTCTTTACATACACAAAGAAAAGTGATGAATGGTAGCATAGATTACTCCCATTCCCATAACCACTTTGTTATGAAATGGATGCAATATGATATTGTATGGTCTTGTATATGTCCCTTCTCAACGTTGTTGATCAGCTGTTAAAGAGATGTAAATTTGAATAAGTGTATTTTGGTTGGGGGTGTCATAAATGATAAAGTTGAGTTGAGATTAAGCAAAGGACAGATGTAATAGTCCATAAACGTTTATAAAAGTCCCTTTGTCCAGAAATGTCACTAGCAGGGCCCCTGTGGGGGGGGGGAGGCAAATATTCAACAAAAACAGGTTTTCAGATATGAGCTAAAAATTCAATGTGCACGGATCTGCCAGGAACACAGCAGGAAGTATCTGCAAAGAGAACTCCAACATTTTATGTTTCCCAGATGTTGTCGGCACTGTTCGGGGAAGCTGCATTCTCACCACATGCAGGAGGGGCCCAGAGTTCCCCACTCAGCCAGCCTACACGTGACTCCCTGAGCAAGGCCTTTTTAATTTGGGAGTATCAGATTTTGGCTGTAAGCCTTTTGAAGTTGGGGTTAGAGAGAGAGAGAGGCTGTACACATATACCATACTGGGAGACTGTATAAACTCAAACTTGGGAGAAAATGATGAATCCAAGATTCACAGTGTTCAACCAGCTCGCCGTAGGCTAAGAAACAAAGACTGGTTTTAAGGGGTTCATAATTGTTAGTCTAATAACTAACATTTGCAGTGTGACCTTCCTCTTCCCACCCATTTTCTTTGTAATAAATCAGACTATTGATGAAAGGCAAAAGCAAACATGCTATTTTTTCTCCTTGCCTCTCTGAGTCAGTCAAAAAGAGCACTTTTGAAATACTCAAAACATTCGCCTCTGAGTCTCATTGTCAGCATTACAGTAGCACCCTGGTAGGCTGGACTTAGGACAGAGGTTATTTTCTGAAGCTAGCCTGTGGGAGCAATGGGAGGCTTTAGGGCCCTGCCTCCTCTGTCTGCCATTTTCGTTCTGGGAGAAAAATCAACGTCTTATGTTAGAAGAGGCCTCAAGGCGGCTTCGCCAGTTCTTGGACTTTCAAGCTGATCCATCCTTTTCACCCAATCGTGCTTTAGATCGGGAGGAGGATCAAAGTTAAGGTGACCAGATTTTAACATTGGTAAAGCGGGACACCGTTGATAAAACATATCCTGGCAAAATAGCCACATGGCAGCCGAAAACCATATACCCTAGCTTGTCGTGCATTCTTTCCAAAAATCGGGACTTTTTAAAAATGCCACAGGACGCGGGAAAAAATATTAAAAATCAGGACTGTCCCTTCTCTTGCAGAGGGGTAGTGGGGAGGAGATGAGTCACCCAGGGTTCAGTATAGCAACAATGAAACTCACAACCTTCCTCTAGTTCTTAAACGCTTCCTCCCCCCAACTACCAATGATCCCAATTCTACCTTGCAAACCTGGTGAGACCAGAGGATGCACAGTGGTACAGATGGGAACTGGAACCACAGGGAATCTAGGACAGATGAACCCCTCAGGCCTAGCGGTGACAGTGGCAATACCGGGAGGGAAGTGGGGTAGAACGGGGGAATTGATCACAAGGATCTACATATAACCTCCTCTCTGGGGGGTGGACAACAGAAGGGTGGGTGAAGGGAGATGCCGGGCAGTGTAAGATAAGATAAAATAATAATTTATAAATTATTAAGGGTTCATGAGGGAGGGGGGAGCAGGGAGGAAGGGGGGAGGGGAAAAAGGAAAATGAGCTGATTCCAGGAACCCAAGCGGAAAGAGAATTTTGAGAATGATGAGGGCAACAAATGTATAAGTGTGCTTTACACAATTGATGTATGTATGGATTGTGATAAGAGTTGTATGAGCCCTAATAAAATGATTTTTTTTTAAATCGGGACTGTCCCGCCAAAAGTGGGACATCTGGTCACCTTAATCAAAGTGTCAGTTGTGCTTGTGGGTTTTTTCAAAGGCGAAATGTTTAACTTCAGAATTGCTGCTTCAGTTCTGCCCTCTAAGACCAAAGACATCACCCGTATTCGCAGGTAGGGAGGGTCAAGTGCACAGGATATGGGGTGTGACAACTCTCATGGGGCAACATGGTAGCTCCAGAGAACTGACTTCATTCTTTTGAATGTTAGTGAGAATTATTATATACAACATTTGTCACTAATTATTTGTGGGTTATAAGATGGAATTTTGTCCCTTTTTTTCATAACAATTTTTATTGTAAATTAGGTGGGGGTTTAGATTTCAGATGACCAACTTTATATTCAATAGTTTAAACTCTTAATCCAACCCTCCAAGTTTGCCCGTCACCTGCGTCTTGATTTCTCTTCTCCCTCTTGTAGACCACACTATCCTCCCTTTCACCGGAGTCAGCTGTCATCAGCAGTCTAGTCCGTTACTCTGTCGTAAGACGTGTTTTCATCCACAAGTTTATTCAGTGCCCCACACTCCCAGCGAGAAGGACTTGCTCAGTGGTTAACTGATGCACTCGGAGTCATGATAAGTAAAGTGTCAGAAGAGGACTACAATTCATTGTCATAGCCCCCTTATAGTGCTAGTCTTAGTGGCTCAGCCCAAGTTGGTACATAGCCAAGGTGGTGTATAAAGGATCTGGAACCATCTTATGAACAGCAGAAGCATTTAATGAGATAAAGCAGTTCGAAGAGGGGAGTATTTTGGGGGGTGGGGATAGCAAATGTGCATAGGTAATCAAGAATTCCGTTTCAGATGCGACAATTTAAAAGTGCCTGTTAGGGCAGTGGAAGGGTCTGAATGATAGTCGTGTGAATGTTCATGGCAGTAAGAGTTCAAATCTGGAGATAGACCTTTGGGAGTTATTGGGCACCATGCCCTTCGAAAGAGTTGACATTTCTCATTGAGAATAAAGATGTGTGTGTGAGCAGGGAGAGCGCTCAGGAACAACCCTGAGGTAATCTGAGATCGGAAAAGAGGAGCCCAGGCCTGCAGGGATAGAGTAAGGCAGGTGGCACACTTAGGGAGTGTGCTGTCATGACCCTCCAGAGAGGGAAGTGTTTGACCAGGCCAGGGCCACAGTCAGCAGTGGCGGTGCCACCATGGAACGGATGATGGGAAGAGGCTCAGGGGTTGGGGGGTGGCACAGAGCAGGCAGTGCTTTGTTTTTCTTGGGCACAGGGTCTCCATGGGTTGGGAGCCAACTCCATGACAGCGAACAAAACAAAGCCAAGTGAGTAGGGACACATTCTCTTGGAATTGTCCGTTGAGCATAAAACGATTCACATCCTCGAATTTCCCCCCACTTTTTCCTTTATGAATTTCGCGGAGGTTTGCACCGCAGATCAGTTTTCCATTCAGTGGTTCAAACACATTTTTTTTCATCTCATTGATTTGCAAGCTCCACAGTATCACATCACTTATACCACTTCTTCCGTTTCCTGTTTCCGTTCCTCCTCCTTTCCTAACCCTCTGGACTCCGTCTTTGGGGAAATGCTGCCCCATTGCTCGCAAGTGGTTGATGACTCTAAGGAGTGCTTGCCTCCTGCGTGTTCTTTCCCCTTATAGGACCGACCGTCTATGTTTCGGCTGGAAAACAGCCCATGAGGATGAGTTTGTCTCCAGACTCTGGGCCATAGTCCCAAGGGTTTCGCTAGTCGCTGGTTTTACCAGTAAGCTGGGTCGTTAAAAAGATTTATGATTTTGGATTTTGTTCCACCTTAGCCTCCCAACTTTATCCCAAACCAAACTCACTGTTGCTGAGTTAATTCCAACTGCGAGCACCTTCCGTGTGTCCTGGATCTGTTACTGTCACCCATTCGGGACAGCTAAGAGTGTTAGCTGGGCACCAAGCAGTAACTCTGTTCTGACGGTCATGGGGCTGGACTTTCACATGGTCTCTTAGTCCACTGGGCTAATGGTTTCCATGTGCCTTATATTTTTCACCACTCTTCTTTCCTCTAGAAAGGAAGGAATCAATAATTACACCTTACGTTGCTACTCCCAAGCTAAGCAGCATGTAGAAACACGTGTCTTTGTGAACTGTATTATGCCAGCTGACCTTGGTATCCCTGAGACCATGGTCCTGAGCCCCCCACTGCTCATTGGCTCATTCCTCAAGCAGTTTGGCTATGTTTAAGATGTTTTTATAACGTTGCCCTTTATGCTTTCCTGCAGCCATGAATATGTTTGCCCCAAAGGAGAATACACACATGCAAATACCCTCTGTCAGACACACATATATGTATGTGTATGTATATATATATATATACACACACACACACACACATATATAAAGAATAGCTGAGTGTTCTCCCAGTCTCCCACCTGTACCACCTTAGTCTACACGTCTGTCCTTGCATTTGTTCTGAAGTAGCCGTTAGAGGATTATGTTTATGACAGTGTTTCCCTCTGTTGCTTTTAACTCTTGCCCTTTTTCCTGACTTTATATTGCCTTCCCTGTAAGCACTAGACTCTGGAGAAATACCAGGCTTTCTACTTCTGTAAGCAGTTACAGTCTCAGAAGCCCGCAGGGCTGTTCCATGGGGTCATTGTGACTCCGAATGGATCGATGGCAGTGAGTTTGGTGTTTGTTTTTTAGGCACCAGCCTGTTAAGGTTGAGGTTGGCAATCTAAACCCATAAAGATTTCTAGTCTCAGAAACCCTGCACAGAGTCATCATGAGTCAGAATGAACTCAATGGCAATGAGTTTGGGGGGGTCTGCTAGCCAGTAATTTACCCTCACTTCTCTTCCCACCCCTGGTAGCCATCAAAGAATATTCATTTTAGTGTGAAACTTCTTCTTGGCTTTTTCCAGTAGTGATCTGATATGATATTGGACCTCTTGTGATTGGCTGATTTCATTCCATACACTATCTTCCAGTCTCATACTTGTTAATAGGTGTTTCACAGGTTCATCACGATGCGTGAACCTTCCGTAGCGTTCCACTGTGTGTATGTGCCTCCCTTCTTTCTCCAGTCTCCCATGGTGCGTTCAGCTGAATGTGTTAGCGTGCTGAACATGGGTGTGCGTACATTTAGTAGTGCTGACCAAGAGGAATCTCAGCATTCACCTGGCGGGGATCCTCTGTGCCATGGGCTCTCAGACTGCTCTTGGATACCCTGGTCATCAATTCCCCATAATGAAGAAAGAGAGTTCTCAATGTGTGTAACCAACTGCCTTGGCACTGGAGGACAGGCTGTAGAAAGGTCCCCCTTCCTGAGAAGCAGCATCCACAGGAGACTAGGTTAGCAACACGCGTAAATGGCAGATTCGTTTCTCCTCTCACCCCCGTAACCTCCTCACCTTGTGAAAAATTTTCTTTCTCCGGCTTTGCTTCCAGGGCTCTTCAATGTCGCTTTCTCGGTCCAGCAGTCGCGAGCACTTGGGAAATGGAAGTGAATCTGATAACTGGAGAGAACGAAATGGAATAGGACCCACAAGCCATAGTGAATTTGCAGCTTCTATTGGCAGCCCCAAGCGTAAGCAGAACAAATCAAGTGAGCTTTGACTTTTATTCATACTTTTCAGTACTTAGAGTAAGCCTGGAAGTTATTTGGTTTGTGCTACTGTGGAAATACAACAACTCTGGCTCCAGTCCGTGAAGCACTAACTGTAACTTACTGTCTGCTCCTCTGGGAACCCTTCTCCGTAAAGCCCCGAGGCCTCCTCCTCTCCATCCATTTTTCTCATGCATTCACTGGAGCCCTTGTCCCGGAGTAGTGGCTGTTGTTAAGTGCCATCGTGTCAGTCCGACTCGTGTGCACAGCAGAACAGAACTGTGCCCAACCCTGCCCATCCTCCTACTGTGCTTCCGTTTGAGCTCATTGTCTCTGTCACTGCGTCCGTCCATCTTGTCAAGGACCTTCCTCTGTTCCACTGCCACTCGGCTTACCAAGGACCGGTCTCTTCGGACACCGTGTTCAAAATGTGCAAGGCAGAGTCTCACCACCTGTGTTTCTAAGGAGCAATCTGGCCATATTTCCTCCAAAGCAGATTGATTGGTTTGTCCTTTCGGCAGTCCACGGTAGTTTCGATATTCTTCCCCAGCACCCCAATTCAAACACATCAGTTCTTCCTCAGTCTTCTTCAGTCCTATGACTTCCACATGCGTGCGAGGCAACTGAAAATGCCATGGCTTGGGTCAGGAGCATGTAGTCTTCAAGGTTACCTCATTGCTTTTCAACATTCTAAAAAAGGATTCTGAAGCAGATTTACCCAATGCAATGTATCTTTTGATCCCTTGACTACTGCTTCCATGAACACTGACTGTGGATCCAAGCAAAATGAAACCCTTGACAGCTTCAGTCATACTGAATGGTGTACTGAAATGCACTTGTTTGCTTATCTCTATGGCTCTCCATATAGAATTTGAGCTATGTAAGCTTGAGCCCATAGGTATTTATATTAACCACTCAGTTGCCCGTGTATAAGGCAGTATGTTAGATTTTGTTTGATTTATTAACTATTCTCAAACGTCTAGCAGGGAGTCTGAAACCCAATAGGTACTTGGTGAATGTGTAGGGACAGAGGTTATGAATGATCAATGCGGACCATTCAGATGTTATTGAAAGGATGGAAACATAAAAGAATTGAGAAAATGTGATCAAATTAGCATCTTGGACAAGAGAAGGTAGTTATTACAGGCAATGAAAATATTTTATATTTTTTATTGACAGAATGTAACAAAATAGGTATAAACAATAGGGGTGGCGGTTTGATATAGAGCAAGGAGATTCTTGGTTTGGCCAGATTTTAGACTACCCAGTGAATAAAATAGTTTTGTTTCTACACTTTGGGGCTACGTAATCGTGTAAGTATAAGCATTGACAAGATATGCCCCTGATCCTTTCTTTTGGGTTTTTGACAAATGCGCTAGCTAAGAGTATTTGAAGAATAAGAAAAGCAAGCAAACTGAGCAGGGAACCCCAGATCAGATCATTGTTACCAAAAAGCAAATCTGCCATGCTCTCAGGAGTCTCCGATTTGAAAGTACTGGCCATTGTGCTGGTCACACTAAGAAAGCAGCATCAGCCCTGTAGTTCCCAGGCATACTGTCTGTAGCGGCCTGGAAACTGACTCTTTATGGGTAGTGCTGGCAGTGTGATAGGGTTGAGAGACGGGCTACTGGAAGACCCAAATCTAGACGTATTAATGCTCTTTATTCTATAACCCAATATGGTTTTATGTCTACTCTACTGGTTTAGTTAGATGTTTGTTTAATATAAAGACGACTTCAAGGGATAATTTTGCTTCATGGTTTGAAGAATTTTTTCTCAGAGAGATTTAGGGGTCCCCCCAGTCTTGTTAGGTTTTTAAAGCTGGATTGTGTAAGAATTTGACAATCTCCACATTTTCTCCTTTTGGATTAGGATTCAACTGTTGATGCCTGGATCAGCAGTAATGGGGGCCAGTCCTCCTCCAGTTCTTCTGGTCGCCTGGCACAGGGCGCAGGCATGTCGGGAGGCAGTTAGACCTGTAGTTCCTTCCATTTCTTCTCTGATTCCTTGGTCTCATCCTCCTGCTGCTGCTCCAAGAGAATCGATACAAACTGTTGGGTCCTGGACAGCCGCTTGAGCCCTCATGTCCGTGTCCACTGAGCTTTGTGTGCCATTGAGTCCGAAGTCTAAAGACAATGTCAAGACACCCTTACCCAACTCATCGGCTACAGAGTCAAGCCAAGGCTCATTCCTGTCGTAGAATGTTTCCCAAAGGATAGCTTAGTTTCTATTACAAATTCAAGCCAGAAACTCCAGCATCATTCTCATCGCAGCATACACTGCTCTTCATTTTGGACGCACTCTATTTTGTGAACTCCCTGCTCAGTTTCATTTTTGCCAGGAGTGAGATTTATGTGTTGCAATATCATAGACTTCCTTTGATGGCAGGAAAGCACAAGTCTGGCTACACAGAGCCGTCCTGTGATCCAACAGAAACCTAGCCTTTATAAGAACTTTTCATACCTTTATTGTGTCCCAGGGATCTTCCTTCCAGTTCCTCATTTAATTCCCCTCAAATCAGTTATAAAGAGTGAATGTTTCAGAATGCTCAGGGAGAACATGATTAATGATTATTAACCGCGGATGCACTGTTGCTGAATTGCTACCTCCCAAGTGTAACCTTGTAAATGACAGGAGCCTCCCTGAAAGCAATAACCAGCATCTCCTTAATGAAAAGCCGATGTTTCAGTAAAGGATTGCAGCATTTCTACTGCTACTGCTCTCTTCAGCCGAACAATGAAATCTGAAATATTTAGGTGATTAAAACGTTTAATTAAATCGTGTTCTCTGTGGGCACTTACACGTCAAGCCTGTCTTTCTCCTTTGCCTTTCAGCGGAACACTATCTCAGCAGTAGCAATTACATGGACTGCATCTCCTCACTGACAGGAAGCAATGGCTGTAACCTGAACAGCTCTTTTAAAGGCTCTGACCTCCCTGAGCTCTTCAGCAAACTGGGCCTGGGAAAATACACAGACGTCTTTCAACAGCAAGAGGTCAGTCATGGTGTATGGATTTTCCAGGCTCTCTCTGTTTGGTTGTGCTGAAGTAAATCACTCATTGACTTATGGCTATACTGTCACTGAGCATTTATTCAAGTCTGATAGCTTAGTTGTGCTGCTGGTAAACATGTCACCATAGTCCTTATTTTATTCAGTGCACTTATTAAATACAGAGAATGTATAGAATCCTTTGGTTGCAAAAATGCATATCAGAGCAGCCCTTCCCTCGTGAAGGAGCCTAAGGTTATATGTCAACGCAGCTGGGCTGTGACACTTGATGGTTTGGTAGGCTCTCTGTAGTCATCCTCCATTGTGTGAACCGATGGGAGCCATGAGCTCAAAGGGGAGCTCCCTGGGGAAGGTGGTCATCATTCAGTCTCTGTGGATGTTCTCCCCAAGCTTGCCCCTCACTCAGTCCTGCTTCTCACCGACTCATCCTCCTTGAGTCTCTGGTTTGGGAGGCCAGCCAGCAGTCTGCTGCCGGCCTTATAGATGTTGGGATTCACCAGCTTTTGCAGCTCCATGAGCCGGCAGCCTGCCACCTGACCCACTCATTAGAACTGACCAGCTTCTACAACCGTGTGAGCCGTTTTCTTGAAATAAATCTATTTCTCTTGCTCTTGGATATATTTGGAAAAAACGGTTTGTGGAAAAATGGAATTCAAAGCGGAATTTTCCCACAAACGTTTGGAAGCCCTTTGTGTTTATATTTACATGCTCCGCTGGGGAAGCCAGCTTAAGACATTTTGAAAACAGAATTGGAAAGGTGTGTTTTCGGAATTAATTCTCCAATTTGAGGAGTTTTAAAGGTGTCTCACAGACTCAGCTTCCAGGAGTAGAGAGCAAACTGCTAACCCAGGTGTGAGGTGACAGTCAAAATCCACAGTGGAGGTATCAAAGAGTGGATTTGGATTGTGTGGTCTTGTATAGGAGATTCTTTAAAACATCTCTTAGTCCTGTTGTAAGCTGTGACTAAAGTCCACAGAAAACCACAGAAACCCAATTCTGACATGACTGCTCATGGCCCCGATCCTTCCGGATTGAAGGTTGGGGTCACCGCAGCAGACCAAGCACCACAATCAACTAATGCACTTGGGAATATGAAATGAGTGGTGGCAGAAGATAGGTTTAAGTACCAGTTACAGCTACATAATCAGTTGCAGAAACAAAAATTGTCATTGTTTTGAGTATTTTTTCCATGTATGTGTGTGTGTGTGTCTGTGTGTGTGTAAAATCAAACTAACAGCTCCTGAGTTTATTCTGACTCATAGCAACCTTATAGGGCAGATTAAAGCCACCACATAGGGTTTCAAAAGCTACAGCTCCTTAAAGTAGTAGACTTTGACATCTTTCTTCCACGGACTGACTGGTGGGTTCAAAGCACCAGCCTCTCAGTTAGCAGCCAACCTCTCAGCAGTTAGAGTTTTAACCACTCAATTAAGCACTGTGCTGCCAGGGCCTTCTCAGATTAGATGATAGAAGCTGATTACATATAACATGTATATTAAAATATCATTGTTTTCTTCCTTCTTCCATTGCATATTATAAAATATATAAATGGGGCTAGTACACTTTCAATTGTATGCCTGTTAGTGGTATTGTGTTAGGCACAAGAATGACTGTATAATGATCTTTATTTAGCATTTATATATGTTTTAAGGAGATGTACACAGATGAAATAGGGACAAAGGGTAGATTGATGGTTAATGATGTGTTGATTTGCTAGGCCATGATTATCAGTAGTTTGGGAGATATTATGTAACCCTTTTCCATTTGCAATCTGATGTGAGCAATCAGTTGAAAGGGAAATTTCCCTGGGATGTGGTCTGCATCTAATAGATAGTAATGATCTGGCAAAGTTAGCTATTGCTTGATTTCACATCGGCCTCATCCTCATCTGACCGCTGGTTCTTAGAACATAAGCCAGCAGGCTGCTGCCTGATCTGCTGCTTTGGGAATTGTCAACTCCTGCAGCACAGTGAACAAACAGAAAAGGGGGAGGGAGGAGAGACAGACAGACTGATGGAGGTTATCTTTATCTATGACACACAAAAGTAAATAACATCCGAAATAAATACTTTTTTCCACTCCTATCCCAGTCATGTTACTCAAGGCTTTCCTCAAAGAGTAAAATGTGTTTCCTTGTATGTTAATGTGTTCGTTCATTTACTGGTTGGGTTTTGCATGAACGACACAGTCTTGTGAACTTATGTCGACCATGTATGTTGGTCAAACTGACCAGTCATGGCCGATGGTACCCTGGCATATAAACAGAAGGGAGAGGAACTCTCTGAGCCGAAGTCTTTTCAGGAGTGCAGCATAGAATCAGGCCATGGCTAACCCAATGCAGCAAAAATGTAGACTGGGTCTATACATGTGCCTCTTACTTAGATTTAGACGTGATCCATGTTTGGTGCGTGTTGGCTTATCACAAGTTCAACATGTTGCCTATAGTTAAATAAGTCAATATGGTTAATTACTGGGATTTTTTGTTTTCTATGCTGAAAAAGAGGTTGTCATGTGTTTATTGGATTTAGGAATATTTTCTTTTCTTTTCCCTAAATATTAGTTAATGTTCACTTAACTAAGGATTTTCTAAGTTATATAATATTCTTATCATCAACTCATTAAAGAATTTCATTCATTTATTTAGCCTCGCTAGCTGGATGGCATTGATTGATTAGGAATCTCAAAATCAGAGGTATTTTTAACTTGTCCAAAACACAGAAAGTCTCAGTGTAAGAGAGTAAAGGTTATAAAATAATGCTCTGCACTTGTTCTCCTCGTGTTTATTTTTTCATATTCATTACCTGTTTTAAGATGTACAAAATGATATTTCTTATACACCAAACTCACTTCTTTCAGGTCACTCCTGACTCATGGTGACTCCCTGTGGGTCTCCGAGACTGTAACTGGTTATGGGAGTAGATAGCCCAGTCTTCCTCCCGTGGAGCCGCTGGTGGTTTCAAACAGTCGACCATGCAAAACGCATTCCAAAGCTTAACCACAGGGCTCCTGAACATTTCGGATAGGTCCTTTTCCAAATGCTGCAAAAAAAAGAGAGAGGAAAACATGAGAGGACAAACTAGAGTGGTCCTATGCAATATTTTATTAACTAGAATAAAGAGCACACAGCCACACCCACTGGCTCACATATTGTGTTTGGTTGCTTTGGCGTTAAGACCGTGGAGCTGAGACATTGCGACGGAGCCAGCATGGCCTGCAACATCTAGAATAACCAAAACTTAGTCCTTTAAGAAAATGTTTATTTACCCTATGAACTAGTAAGTACTGTTTCTCAAAGCATATTTTTATAATTGTGAGAAATGATGCCTTAAAGAGGCTTTGCAATATCTAGGTGTGCTTCCATAATAAAATCAGAAAATTTCAAATTTCCTTCGGTATCATTTGAATGCATCATATCGTTTACTACTTCTTGATGTTGAAGTTTGACATTTCTGTTTATTTCATGTAAAATATTGGCTGGTATTCATATACGATTTAACATGCGTCTCCCTAGAATAGCCTTGGGGGTTTTTATTTAGTGTAAACACGGTCAAAATTTATTAACAGCTGCATAGATGATTACCTCTATACATGATTACTCAAAATAGCTACCAATATGTGGTTATTGTTTTAGCTGTTCAGTGCCATCAAGTTGGCCCTCAAACTCATGGAAAGCCCAGGAACAATAGGGTGCCATGTTGCCAGATCCCATGCAGACCTTACAGTGAGCTGCAGATGGACTGGCATGATCCACAGGATTCCATGACTGATGTTCAGAAAGGTTTTCATTGACTTTCTTCCCAATTGTGTTCGTCTGGAAGCTCTTTGGTGAGCCCATTGTTTTACAACACCATAGTCAGTGTTTATGATACAGCCCTGTGGACTGTTCACAACGAGTTATAGCTGAGTCAAGGCCAAGCCTCTCTGGCTTCAGCGGTATTGCCTTTCTTCTCCTCCGTGCAGTCTTCTCGGGAAGGGGGGGGTGGTTGGACTAGATCCCTCACCACTGTGGCTGATGTTCAGGAACACAGTGACAGAGTTTCTGAAAATCCCACCTTTGTGCCACCTTTCTAGATAGTCTTCTTGGCTGGTCCATGAGTTTGACATGGCCTAGGATTTCTAGCCGTCTCAAGTAGAACACTGTGGCAGGTAGCGACGCATCACCCAAACTGCTAAAATAACAAAACAAAACAAAAATTGTTGCTTCACAGTTCTGGAAGCAGCAAGTCCAAATTCAGGGTGACAGCAGGGCCATGCTCTTCCCAAAAGCTCCAGAGGAAGATCGTCTTTGCAACGCCCCCTAGCTTTCTCTAGCCGTAGTTGATTCTTGGCTTTAGCAGCCTAAGTCCACTCATTGCCGAGGTCTTCGCATGGCCACCTTCTCCCTTGGCTCTGCCTCTGTTTCTTCTCTTTTCATAAGGGTGCCCTGCATTTGGGATTAGGACTCACCCAACTTTACTATTAATATTTACAAAGCCCTTGGTCCGAAATCCAGCACACCTGACAGGTATTAGGGCTTAGAATGTTTACTCTTTAGAGAGATAAATCAATTTATCCTTATGGTTTTATTCTGTTTCCTCTTTCAAAGATCCACTTTACCAATTCATAATCCAAAGCTAAGGAATACGGTTCCCTCTCCTAAACAGATAGGTATTTTCCTCAGATCAGCCTACAAAAGTTATTAATTCTTAGTTTCCCTTTTCACCAGTGCTGCCAGGATGCTCAATGCTAGGTTTTTAAAAAATTATTTTTAAGAGTTTCATTTGCATGTAATTCATATCTCATACAATTCAACAGTTCAATCATATTAAGAAGGATTGTACAATCATCAGCACAATCCAATTTGGAACATATTCTTCTTTCTGGTACTCATTGTTATTAGCACCCCATCTCCCCCAACCTCTCCTGCCACACCCCAAGAAACCATAAATCCAGTTATTGTCTCTCTAGATTTAGCTCTCCTGGATTTCAAATACGGAAAAACATACTCCCCAAATAACAGCAATTTTAAAAGTAAAACAGAAAAACCTCAGTAAAAAAGGAAGCAGAAAATAACAAAAACTAGAACAAAATTTAAATGGGTCAAAAGGGAGCTCAATCGCTAAGAGTAAACTTTTATCTCAGTTGCAGTCGCTGACTGGCTTAGATTAAGGACCCAGCTAGAATCATCACTTCAGTTTTTTTCACCTTTATTATTTGATTTTCCACCATCATTCATTTTGATGTATAAGCAAGGCATAACTAATAGCTAAAACAGGTGGAGGAATGAGTTGGGAAATCCCTGTGTGATGCACATGGCTAAGTCACTCAGTTGCTAACTGGAGGATCGAGTGTTTGAATCCACTCAAAGGCACCTTCGATGACAGGCCTGGCTCTCTATTTCCAAAATAAAATCAGCCCTGGAAGACCCTCTGGGGCACAGCTCTGTTCTGACAGACATGCGGTTGTCATGAATCAGAACCAGCTCAACTGAAACTAGTTTTTGAAGTCAGTTGACTCCAGACTCAGAAGAGAATGAGGACTTTACATGCTGATTACGGATTGTTTTTTCATTCGTAGATTGATCTTCAGACATTCCTCACTCTCACGGATCAAGACCTGAAGGAATTGGGAATTACGACTTTTGGTGCCAGGAGGAAAATGCTGCTTGCCATCTCAGGTGAATATAGATGCTTACACTCATCCTTTGAAATCTAACCAGGCTCTGCAACCACTTGCGAACTATCCTGAGACCATGCTGATGGCAGATTCACAGGACTCCGCAGCCAACAGCGTGATGATGCTCAGACTCTCGCCAGTCTCTCCTGCAGGCATTGCGTACACATCCGCCTTCAGGACGGGTGGAGCTCCACACAACATTCTCTTCAGAAAGGTCTCAGCCCAAACTGACCGATGCAGATGAGTCTCCTTCAGCAGTTTAGCAATTATCAGTGGGTTTGTAAATAATTTTGATTGGCTGTCATATTTCAAACATGTCTCTGCAGACCAGCTGAGATCATTGTACCGAGAAAAAGAAACATGCCTCTTGGTCTAGCTTGGAACCTGGCAGTGGTACTTGTCTGTGTGCTTTTTAATTTTTCCCAAGTTTAAATAGAATCTGTGAGTCACAGAAGGATGTAGGCTCCTGCAGGTAGTCACAGAATACAGGAAAAGAATGATGTCTACCTCCCTCGGCTCTCTTCTTTGTGTATGTTACATGTTCTAGGCAGTAGCAAATGCTCTATAATGCTTTACTCTTCTTTAAAGGAACTGAGCCAAATGATGAGTTGGGAATAGGTAAATATGTTGCCCTTGGCTCACCAATAAATGTGTGACTGCTAACCAAAGGGTTGGTGGTTCAAACCCATCAGCTGCTCTGCTGGAGAAAGACCTGGAAGTCTACTCTTGTCCCAGTGGAGCAGTTATTCTTGGTCATGTGTGGTCCCTATGAGTTGAGATCGACCCAATGGCCCCTAATGATAGTAACCCCCCACCCCCCACCAAAATATGTTTAGCAAAAGAAAAGGAAGAATTTTGGGGGGAAATAACTAGAGTTACTTCTGGATGACTTCTTAATACAGTTCATGAATATCACATTTATATTCTTGCCTATCTCCCACAATGGCAGAGACACCCAGGCAGAAGCCACGTGTGGGTGTTATAAGGAAACAATTCTGCTTTTTCAGAATGCGGAATGTACAGTAGTTATATCCAGCTGGTAAAAGTCTTTTCCAAACAGCATTTACTAATCTGACTGACAAAGTTAAATCCCTCAGTGGTGGTCTGTTTTATTTCAGCAGTGGCTCCCATCCCCTGCTCTCCTCGTCCCTCCCCAGGAAATGTATTGACCCATTATCTGAAGCACGTAACACAGAGCTGTCTTGAAATAGGAGTGGAACGCCAGCCATTGAGTTTGTTCACGATTGTCTTTTAGGCTTTTCCATGAATAAAGAATGTTCTACCCACATCATTTTGAGAAGTCTTCTATTACCCCTTGTACCGTGGCTGTCTCAGGGGTAGACACAATTCCTTCTCACCGTTAAGATCAGCCTTGCCGTTTGAATAGATCAAACCAGATAACAATTAGACCTGGGATTTCTCTCTACCAAATTCTGAGTCCTTGGTGAATTTCCAAACTTCTTCTGGTTTTATTGACCATTAAGGAGGATTGGAGTAGATGATTTTGCAGTCACTGTTGTTTCTAACATCTGTATGTTCCTGTGATGTGTCTATCATCCAACTTAGGGAAAGACGAGAATATACAGTTGAAGCAGTCTACGTCAGTAAGCGGCTCCCCTTTGTTCTCTGTCTTTGAACCATCTGTGACAAGGGAGTAGTTTTTCAAGTTACTTGTTTATCATAAGTCTCAGCCCCAGGAGACTGTTCCTAGACATAAATTAACTTGATGCATTTTCACTTTCTTCTTTTATTACTTTGAAAGGGAAGCTGATATGATAATAGAAATTTGATGAACTCATATGCACCATACATTTATTGATAAAACATGCCTGTAGGCCAACACTTTTTATAATAAATAGAGAACTGAGAAACCTTTCACTAGAGATTCAAGGAATGTCAGTGATGGTAGAGTGAAAATTAACTATGTTCTTTGTACACCGGCCCAATCTCAAACTTGTAAAGCTTTTAGCAACAAGCAGACATCTCTAACCATTTTCCCAGGATCTAGCTGGGTCACCAGCAAGGTTATTCTAGAAGAAGTTTAGAAAAAACTGTGGGTGGGGGTGGGGTGGGGGAGCAGTGAGAGTTTTGAGGGGTAGGGAGGTAAACAAGAAAGGATTTTGAATCCTTTAAAAAGATTTTTCCCCCTACCATCGTTGTCTTCACAGTTCTGTTGAGGTTATGTAATTACTACTTCTGTAGATTGCTTCTCTCGGGGGTTCACAGGTCCTTGCTTTTAAGGGGTATTAGAGACTTGGGATAAGATGCCTTATGAATACTCTGCACAGCGTGAAGTATTTGATTATTTTAAGGTTGATTTTGCTTTACTTTGTTGAGTGCATTTATTTGAACCTGGTAAATCATTTTCTCTGCAAGTAATAAATTCATATTGAGAAACCCTTCATCAGAAAGCTTCTTTCCCCTATTCAGCTCACTTGATTACAAATACACACATTTGTAGCCTCAGACTAGCCCCTATCCAGATAGATGCAGGCTAACTGGGCAGCTTTGACTCACCTTGCCCTTGTGGTGACACAGTTCAGTTAGACAGACTTTGCAAAAAACTCCTTTTTATAATTTTGTAGGTTTTTAACTTACAGAGTTGTTCCTTAAATGTGGTCTTTTTCTCCCAGGATTGGGCCTGAACACATTTAGTTCAGAATTGGAGAAGGTGAAATGTATCTCTAGTAGCGATGAAGTGGAAAACAATTTTTAAAATGTTAATCCAAATCCAAATTCATGGCTTTCTCTCCGAGAACTCTAGGGGTTGATTAACTAGACATACAGGGACTCAGTAAGAGGAGGTTTAGCATCCTGCTGACAGGCAGCTTGCCCCAGCCTCAGGTAGATCTAACATTTCCCGACCTATTCTTTTAGTTTGTGACTCTGTTCAGATCCGCAACAAGATCCTGAGAGCTGCCAGGATTGTGTGAACCTTGGAATGTCAAAGAAAAAAGGTTGGTATTTTCCCAAACTATCCCTCAGGCTTCCTTCAAAAAAAGTCAGAGGAAGGTGTCTACTTTTTAGTTAAAAACAAACAAATCCCCAAAGCTAGTCTCTTCAGTAGGATTTGATCCTTGAGAACCTTTCTATAAGGTTTACCTCTCTGCTTCCCATTTGGGAATTTGTACACATATAGAATATATGTCTACACACATGTATACATTCTCTTAGAAACTGCTTCTTTGGGGGGTTACTGAATTCCCTCCTGATTATTTTCTAAGATCTAGTTGGAGTAACTTTTCAGAATAAGATTTTCTTTAAACAAGCAAACACAAGGCTTGTCTTCAGTGGCCTGGACTGCTTTTTTGTGCTCAACTGTGCATGCTATGTGGGGTAAATGAGGTTCAACCTAATTCTTTTCTTTTCTGTCATATGGGAATGTCTTCTTGATGGTGGGTTATTCCCCCAGGGGAATGGAGAAACCAGAGAAAGGGTCCTCCTTTGAAGGTGACTAAGATCTGCTCAGGCTCTGTACTTAAAGGGATTCATTGATTCCTAACTTTCTAGAAGATTGCTTTAAAATCTATTCTGTCTGGATTCCTGAAGGTTTGAAGTGCTTCTCTTTTAACACCGTTATATTCAACCTTTAGTAGGAATGTCGTCACTACTGTTTCTAAAGGCATTTGAAACAGAAGCTATCTGTATGCATGCCTGCACCTGCCTTTGGCTTGAAAAGGTTTATTCCTTGCCTCTTCAGAACCTTTAAACCCAGTTACCGTTTAGACAATAACTGGGACTTGCACTTCATATAGAGTAAAACCCTGGTACCTGCATGCTGGGACATTCTGAATCCTCAAATCTGTGCCACCCAGTCTTCTGGTGGTGGTCCGTGTCCATCTAATGGCTCAGTACAGCCAGTGCCCAGGTGTCAGGAAGGGGGTGGGATTTCAGCCCTATCACTTAATAGCAGTGTGGTCTCGGGTAAGTTACTATGTTGACATTAAAACTCAGTTTTATTTTCTATAAAATGGAAGTGATAATTACATTTACCGAAAACCAAATCCATTGCATCAAGTTGATTCCATGTCATAGAAACTTTATAGAACAGAAATAGAACTGTGCCTTAGGGTTTCTGAGATGGTAAGCCTTTATGGGAACTGGCAGTTCCATCTTTCTTCCCACAGCTGGTAGATTTGAACCTTGAACTCGTGGCTGGCAGCGTACCCCACACCACCACCTTTCCTGCTTAAACCAAACCAAACTTGCTGTCATCGAGTCAATTCTGACTCATGGTGACCCTGTAGGACAAGGTAGAACCACCCCTGTGGGTTTCCAAGAGGGTGACTCTTCATGGGAGTAGAAAGCCTCATCTTACAACCATAGAGCAGGTGGTGGTTTTGAACTGCTGACGCTGAAGTTAGCAACCCAATGCATGACCACTACACCACTAGGGCTCCTTAATATTGCTTAAGGTGGAATTAAATAGAATAAAATGGAAGTAAGGTGCTTGTCATGTGGTAAGTTCTAATAAATAAACATTTCTCTTCTAAGTCTTAAATGTGAGCAAAAGAGAGATGATCCCCACAGTTGATTTGCTCCAATAGAGCAGGAACCCATCTGCATTCGGGAAGCCATCAGGGTGCAATATTAGAGTGTTGGTTCATGTTCTAAACCTTGGGAGCGAGGTGGTCACATGACCTGTCTTAGCCACGGTGGCCATGGCATCCTTTGGGGCTCTGTATTCTTATTCGCATCATTACCTTTCACACTTTGTTTTCTTATCTAGCTGCTGCATTACCTAAAGCAGAACCTGGCACAGCTGACAGAGATACTATACCCACCTTACATGTCCTTTTGAGTTTTTGTGAGCAGTGGCATAGTGGGCTATTTTTTGGACTGCTAACTGCAAGGACAGCTGTTCAAAACCAACCACCAGCCATTCTGAGGGAGAAAGATGAGCATTTGCAATCCCATAGAGAGTTAAAGTCTTGGCATCCCACCGGAATAGTTCTGCCCTGTCCTGTTAGGTCACTGTGAGTCAGAGTTGAGTTCATGACAGTGAGTTTGGTTTTCCCGTATGGTTGAAAAAGTTCTGAAATGAACATAAGGCACTGACTCACGTATCCACCCCCAAAGCCTTTAAGTGACTCAATTTTTAATCCCTCTCATCAATTTGAAAGGAGCCGTGGTGGCACAGCAATAAGTCCCCTGCTGCTCACTGCTATCTGAAAAGGTGGGTATTTCAAACCCACAAGCCGTTCTCCTGGAGAGAAGACCCCAAGAGGCACATCCATAAAGGTTACAGTTTATGGGGCAGTTGTACCCTGTGCTGTAGGCTCACTGTGAGTTGCAGTCAATTCAAGGACACACAATAACAACAGTCTATTTGAAGGTGAATATGTTTGAAGATACGTGCATTTGGAGGCTTTCAGAAACTTTGGTTTCCAAAATCTGCCTAGTCTATTTATTTTATATGAGTCATTAAATGAGTTACATCAGAATAAAATAAAGAGTTATGTCAGCTTAAGTCAAGGGCTTCGGGGTTGGGGGGGGGTCGGCTTTGTCTAATCATAATTGAAATAGAATGTTTTGATTGCCTTCCAAACTCTGGGTTAATAATTTTTCAGTAAGCAAAGGGGACAAACTGAACAGTCTGTTAAGTATTTGGGTTCCTTTAAAATTAATATTGAGACTTTCCATTTTTCCCTTGAAATCTTGGAATATGGTTATTGCTCTTTCCACTAAGTTGATGTTTGATGCAAAGAAAATGCTACTAATATGATTTCTCCTAGAACTCTTCTGACTGAAGCGGTGTGGGCACCATCTGTTGGCCTAGCTGCATTTCAGAACCTTCCTCAGATAGCCTCGTATTTAGATGTGGGATCTTATGTTCATACCTGACCTCTGTAGCTTAATGATCGATATGTGTTTGACATGGATGAGTTCAATAGTTGTAATAATTTTCTATGCCATTCTGTGGCAACACATTGTCTCATCTTCCTTTTAAATACGCTTCTCTTGTCACCCCATGGCCTCAGAAATGGCCTTTGGGCACATGGGGAAACCTTTGTGTCTCTGGAGGTTAGAAGGTCCAGAAGGTGACATATCCACCAGATAGTTTAAAAACTGTAATAAAATAGGTTTCCTTCCCTTGGATTTCTGGGCTACCAGGATATACCAGTTACCAATTATATACCAGTATACAGCCAGCCAGAGTTGGCTCTGGCTCCCTGCAGCCCTCTGCCTATGGGGGGGTGGGGGTGTTTAGTGGTAAGATTTTGAGGAAGTTGAGTTCCAGGCCTTTCTTCCAAGGTGCTCCTGAGTGGAGTCAAACCCCCAACCTTCAACTATCAGCCAAGTGCACCGCCCAGGGACTCATCTCCGCTGCCTGTAACATCAGACTCCCTAGAGTTTTGCACTGTCATGACCGTCACCTTACATGTTTGCCTTTTGCTACCAGATCTTGACTCTCCCCACCCCCCGCAAAAATAAACACCCCCACACCCTGCCGTGCCACTATTTTAAGAGCTCTGGTGTCATGTCCTATATAAGATAGAACTTCTTCACTGAGTTTTGAACAATTGTCTTTTTCTCTCTCTAGAACTCAACAAAAACCGAAGAAAGCTTTTCGAACCGCCAAATGCACGCGCTGCTTTCCTGGAAGGCGGAGCGAGCGGGAGGCTGCCCCGTCAGTTCCACTCCGACATGGCGAGTGTCAGTGGCCGCTGGTAGCAGTACACACGGGTCACACGCCCGCCAAGCGACGACCGCACAGTTGGACACCGGAGACCTGCGATCAGACTTCACTGCACGCCGCCTCAGCACTCGGGGTGTCTGGTGTCAGGACCAAAGCATCGTATTCACACCTGCACCTTGTGCCAAAAAGCGGGGAAAGAGAGAAGATGTCCCCTATCATTGTACAGAACACCAAATGTCGCTTACTGTTTCTGAAACGGCAAACGGACAGAATTTGTAATAGAATGATAGTGCTTTTTCTTCTTTATTTTTATTTACCTATATAACATATGCACTGATTTTTTTTTCTTAAAATGAAGGATAATTTGGGATGCCAGAAAGCACAGAAGTTCTTTTTTGTTTGTTTGTTTTGATTTGGTATTTTTATTTTTTTGTTTTTGTTTCTTTGTTTTAAATAATCAAAGAGTTTTCTGGTACGGCTTTAAACTAATGATTGCGGTCTTTCAGCACTTTACTTGTTCTGATTTCTTGTCCTGTGGAAATTGTCTCTCTCTCTCATTTTTACATCACCTGTTGTATTGGTACAAATCAAATGTAGTTGCCTTTTTTCTAACTGCACCAAATATGTATTTGAAATGGTACTGGACATCCATTTCTGGGTAGACCATGACTTTGGGAAACATTAAGTGACTTCCATGTGGTTGTGGACCAACTCTGTTCATTTATGTCGTCACCCTACAGAAACACCTTGCTATGAACTGAATTTCCTGTAAACAGGTGCGAAGGAAGACCCAGTGGACTTTGCAATATTAACCCTTTGCCGTCATCATATGTAGCTGCTGCCTGTATTGCTAAGAAAAAGATTTTAATGGTTGTCTAAAAGCAAAGGGCTATTTTTAGTATACTGCCACTAAAGGACATTTATTTATATCAAACTTTTATTTTTAGATACTATACGCATACATTACATAACTGATTAAATTGATATCTACTAGAGATTTATGGTAAAGAATGGACGGCATTCAATTACTGGAGCCCCAGATTGTCACTTTATTTAAAAAGACAAATAATCATTTGACAAGACAGCACTGCTGCCATTATGAGGAGAAGTCGATTACAGTCCTTAGCATGTGCACATTAATTGTGCTCCGTGTGATTCCGGGACTTTCTGAAAACCACACGTGTCTGCTTCAGGTAGACTTGTATCTGTCAAAAACGGAAAGGCTTTATGGACATCTCTAGAGTGACAGCTTGTCATGATGTTATAAGGTTTTGACGGGGGCTGGGGGAAGACTGTTTTCTAAGAGAGTAAGTAGACTCATTGGTTCAATCTTATACTGTGAAATTCCAAGAAACTGGGCAATGATGTTTCCTGAGTCTTTTAAGACATCTTATGATGGATTTGTGAAGGGTTTTCAATCCATGAAGAAAATCACCAAGTGCCTCTTTTTATCAAAGCAATATTATTCCCCAGTAAGTTAATTTTGTTAGGAAACTTTCCCATAGGAGATGTTGTGAATTACCTGTACTGTAATGTCTTATTTATGTTCAGTATTCGAGACTGTCTACCTGGACATAAACCACTCTTGTATGCTCTCAGCATATACAACCGTTGGGGATTTCTATGCCAGTGTGTAATCAGAAATTCTTGCCTGGCATGTTTCCAAGGATAAATTTTACCATTAAGGCAACAATAAGAATTGAAAAGGTATTTTGCACACAGATGAAAATAGGTTTGGTTCTATTAAAGGCATAGTCGGTGGGACTGTCATAAAATTATCAATCAGAAGTTTCCCAATCCTAAATTGAATTGTATCTGCTTTTACGGTGGAACCAAATCTCTCCCTTTGCAAGCACGATGAAATAAACTGTTGCATTTGCATGATCACGTGGAGCTCCCTGCCTTATGGCGATTGTACGAACCCGTCCATCACACGGGGAGAAGTCACATGGGGAGAATTCTGCGTGCGTTGGCTGCCTGGTCAACATTTTGAAGTTCTTCTTCTAGCTCTCTACCCTGCATGTACAGTGGGAGGGAAAAGGAAAAAATAGGAAGGATTGAATTGAGATAAGTATGCACAGTGCTTTGAGACAATCTATGCCAAAGAGAAAGTTGTCCCGATTAATCTCAATTACAATAGAATGACTAAAAAGAAGCAAAACACACTGGAACTTGCTTTTTTCACTTTCTCTTGATGCAATGAAGGGAATATGAAACTATAGTGTATGGTGTCAGTGCTATACGATGCACAAAATATTCGGATTATTTGAGTAAATGGTAGATTTTAATCAATCTGTGCCTTAATAGTGACCGGTTATCTGTAAATAGAGAACAGATACAGATTGTATTTTTTTGTGTGGGTTTTTGTCCTGTTAGTGATTTTTCTTGCTGTTTTTTAATGAGAGATGGAACCGAAACATTGAAAATGGGAATTTTTTCTAATCAATTGTTACATAAAGAAATAAATTTATATAACCCCTTTGTATTGCCCTTGCTAGATGAAACGTGTCTCTTTTTTTAAGTCTCTACACATAAAACTCTATGTCTTTGTTTTCCAAGACAAGGTACTATTTGTTGATCTTGCTACTTTCAGCAGAGGGGAAAGCCATGCCTGCAGTGCATTTGAATAGGTACCTCTGCCCTGTGGCTTCACATTGACAGCCTCCATTTTCAGCTGAAGCGAGGGCACTTGATTTTAGGCAGGGAATCCAGGGTTAGTAAACAATTATTGTCTCTGGCCACCTGTAGGTGTGTACACGCGCGCACAACATCTCCAAACAGGGCCTCTCATTCTTCCTCTGGTGCAGACTCAAGGCAGTGACTGCCTTCAGCGTCATCCCTCAGCAGATGTGCTCCGTGCTGAAGAAGTGACCCTGCGCCTTTGACCCAGGTTCCCCCCTCAGGCTGACCAAGCCAGGCTCTCCAATCCTGAGGACACTGGATTCTGAAGCAAAACTGATAGCTATCATATTAGTGCTTGGATTTCTCCTACTCTTAAAGCCTTGCCCCCACCCCCCCTTCACTGTGCTCCCTGGAATCTCTGTGTGAATTATTGATGCTAGTATTTCTAAAAAACTTTCTGCCTGAAACGTGCATTTGATCATTGTCTTATATGTGAACCCAGTATTCAATGATCTAATCCACTCACACAATGACATAAATATTTAATGACTATTTATTAAATATCAGCATGACTGTAGATGAGGCAAATAGGCACTCAAATGCTAACCAAAATGTTGCAGGTTTGAGTCCACTGAGACTTGGCAGGAAGGCCTGATGATCTAAGGGGGAAAAAAATCAGCCTTGAGACTCCTATGGCTCCCAGCCCTCCTCTGCACCCCCCATGAGCGGGAACCAACTGGCTGGCGACTCGCTGGGCTTGAGCTCGGCAGCACGTGTCAGTGCCGTCCATGGGAGGCTACTCGTAGGGTGCAGTAAAGATACTCCAAGAATGCAGTAAAACGCACGTTGTTCTGGATACAGCAGTGAATAACAAACACTTGCCCCCAGTGAGTTTACATGCAGTTTATAATGGAGAAAGATGGAGCCAATGGGGAAGGGCTGGGGAAATGCCTCTTTTCATATAGAAGGTTACCAAGGAAACTGATGGGTCCTGTTGAAAACCTGCTTTGATAACACTACTGAAAGTGCCCATCATAAAAACAGACGTCTTGCTCTCAAATGCAAAATTACATGTTCTTCCTCGCATCTTCTTTTCCTCCTTTCCGCTGACTACTTTCTATAGGTTTAACCACATTTCAAAGCCAAGGGGTTATGTTCCACACCCTATAGTTAGACCCTATAAATAGACTTAGGGACCCCCTTAGATTTGACTGCAAATGACTGCACTTTTATAAATCAGGCTTACCTGGAAAGGTAAGGATGCTCTAGGATCCCTGGTGTGTTAGTCTGGGTAGACTAGAGAAACAAACTCATAGACACATGTGCTTGTATACAAGAGCAATTGAATATTGTGAAACCATCCCAGCCCAGTTCAGATCAAGTCCATAAGTCCAATATTAACCCATATGTCTGATACCAATCTATAAAGCCCTCTTCAGACTCATGAAATACATGCAATGATGCGAAATACAGGAGGATCACACGCCAGTGGTTTGGAAGTCTGGTGGATCCAGTGGCGTTGTAAGCATCTCAGCACTGGCGGGGGTCTCTATGTGAGTTTTCTGGCAACAGAGATCTGGTTACATCAGGATAGCTCCATGTGGTTTCTCCTGCTCCCAGGGCATAGCGCCATGTGTCCTGTCAGTAGAGTGTCTCTCAGGGAGTGAGCATTGTCAATAATGAGAGTCTGTTTCTCACCTCCAAGGAGGAAATCCAGGAATTCTCAGAAGGCCATGCCTACACAGAGGCCACATTGGCTATGATCCGATTGACAGACTAGACTCCACCCCTTCACTCTTAATCCTTTCAAGACCCAAATTGACACCAGATTATGTAACTACCCCACCCGGTCATGCAGCAATTAAAGCACTTGACAGCTAGCCAAAAGCCTAGTGGTTTGCACCCTCTAAGCTGCCCTGTGAAAAAAGGTGGAACAGCATTTTAAAAGGTTTATGCCTTAATCTTTAAGACACCATATGGCGTTATGTTGGTGGCTTCCCTCATTTGGATATTTGTCTTTGCCCTACCTAGATCTACATAGGTCTCTCTCTCTATAAAAAAGATTTACACCCCTGGAACAGTTCCACCGTGCCCTACAAGATTGTTATGATTCTGAATCCACTCAATGTGAGTTGGTTGGGTTTGGGTTTTAGAGA